TAGATGGGGGCCATAAACTACATCCAGATTAGATGGGGATCATAAACTACATCCAGATTAGATGGGGGCCATAAACTACATCCAGATTAGATGGGGATCATAAACTACATCCAGATTAGATGGGGGCCATAAACTACATCCAGATTAGATGGGGATCATAAACTACATCCAAGTTAAATGGGGGCCATAAACTACATCCAGGTTAGATGGGGGTCATAAACTACATCCGGGTTAGATGGGGGCCATAAACTACATTCAGATTAGATGGAGGCCATAAACTACATCCCTATTAAATGGAGTCGTAAACTACATCCCGGGTAGATGGGGGTCATAAACTACATCCGGGTTTGTTGGGGGTCATGAACTACATCCCTATTAAATGAGGGTCATAAACTACATTCTGGTTAGATAGGGGCCATAAACTACATCCGGGTTAGATGGGTGTCATAAGCTACACCTCCACTAGATGGGTGTCGTTAATCTACATCCTGGTTAGATGGGGCTGAAATCGAATACTTGTTTGCTATGTAGTCCCATGTGACATTGAGTATAGTGAATAGTATGTTGGAATCCTCAGTATCAATGAGACAGTAGTCTCAGTAATTTGCATCAAGATAGCAAATACACAATTTCATAAGCTGATGTGAATGTGTTTTTCATTGATAGTTTTTAATCATTTTTAACTATTTAACTATTTTTAACTATATGTACGTTATTGGTGCATATCTGGGTCAGGTAGTATGCAATATAGCAACCACAGTATATTCAAGGGCATTTGTACTGTTCTCATGCTTACATACAATACATACTACATTAATGGTCAAGCAAAGGTCAGTACGTACTGTGTAAGTAATTGGTTTCAGACACTCCCTACACCTCGGTTAGACTGGGATGAAAAACTACATTTGAGATAGACTGGGTTAATACCAATATCCTCTAGTTTCCTGTGTTATGGGTCAAACACCAACAGAAATGACATAAACCATGTTTCATTGACAGCGTTCACCTGTCCATATTGTTATTTTTTTGAGTGCTAGGTGGGTTTCTCTAAAACCTGGTGAAGAAATATCTAGCCTGCCTAGTCCCTGTAATCCAAAGGTGGTTGTTTCTAAAGTACCATTTTATGGGAGGAGTGATTTGTGGAGTATGGAATATATGTAATGGTCACTCACTCCACCATTTTATTCTTAATTTTTTGGTGGGAATCGTGCAAGCAGTTGGTTTCCTGCTGGTTTGTGCATGTGGGACCACAGGAAGCCAAGGTCAATGTGTCTAATACCACCTACTGCCCTGTACTTCTCACCCAGGGCTACGGTCAATCTGCCAAAAGCTATATTGCCACGCAGGCCCCCATGGTTAACACAGTGGAGGACTTCTGGGAGATGGTCTGGCAGGAGGAGTCTGCGATAATCGTCATGATTGTAGAGCTCAAGGAGATGACAGAGGTGAGGAGGTCTTCTGGAATGGGACAAGAATATCCTGGCTTTAGCAGCGTGTATTTGCCAGCAGAAATAGAAACTGACCGTACAGCTTTTACGTCACCAATCAGGAAGTCTCTGCAATGGTTAAACACAACGTAGCAGCTGAATGTTTGTAAATTAGCCAGGTCTTTTTTGTTATCTCCGAAGTGTAGATAAAATATGTCATTTCCTTTCCCTGTGTGATACTGTAGAGATAATATGAGTGTATGTTCACAGCATGCTGATGAAACACGAGGTAGCTTGGTGGCTAAGGATATCAATTTTTAACCAAACGAATCGGACTCAAGGTCCTGGTTGAGCCTCAGAGTCAAATAACAATCTAAGTCTAATGGAGAAATCCAGAATAATCCTCTGCCTTTTCCATTATTCTGAAACCTAAGAGTAATGGAAAACATAAGGTTTATGTTGCAGGATGAACCCACTCTTTTTGTTCCAGAAATGTGTCCAGTACTGGCCGGACCAGGCCGGTGTATATGGCCGGGTCACTGTGGTTGTGAACTCAGTGGTGTCAGGCAACGGCTACACAGTTCGCGAGATGACTGTCCAGGTTAGAACTAACTGTCTGGCCAAGATCCCGCTATAAGAACAACGCGAATCTTGAGGATATCACATTTCATCATGCAAGCACTGAATGTCACGGAGTGAAGTTCAGTGTATTTGACATTTTAGAGGACAGCTCAATTTACACCTGTGGTAGCTGCTTATGCTCTAAGGTGGATACACCCTTCCTCTAAATTAACAGAGAACTTGGCAACATGTATTTGTTGAGACATCTGACAGATATGTCTGTAGTGGGCAGAGCTGCACAGCTGCTTATGTAATGCTGCTGTCAGTTGGACTAGAGCAGATGTGTATGACTCTAAGCCATTGCTTCTGTCATTACGGTTCCTCAGGTGGGGTCAGAGAGCAGACAGGTGAGGCACTACTGGTACTCCACTTGGCCGGACCACCAGATCCCCCCTGCAGGCCCCCTCTTGCAACTAGTTCTGGATGTCCAGTCCTACAGAAAGACCCTGTGCAGTCCTGGCCCCACTGTCGTCCATTGCAGGTTCAACCTCCACGTCTCCTCGAACACAATTTCAATCCCTTTGTATGACCAGGCTTTATCCCTGATTCCACTCCTACACACGACCCTCATCAGCTTTCAATATGACCCACATTCTGCCAGACATGAATAATGTAGGTTAGTGGATCTTAAACTCTTTACACCATATGCCCACCTCAGAATATATCAAGCTCCCCATCAGGGGAGACGACAGCTCTTGATGGCATAGTTGCTTCATGCAGCCATTGTGACTGACGCTTAAATACACTACTACCTTCGCATACCACTAGAGGGGCTCCCACGTACCATGAGTGATACAGATACCATAGTTTGAGAACCGCTGATGTAGATGTAGATGTGTGTACTCTACAGTAAATAGGCGTGCATATTATCCATTTCAACTGACATGTATTTAGTCTATGTGGCAGCATGCACCCCTTATAGGGGTGAGCATGTTAGCTGATAGTGTGTGTACCATTGGCAGATGTCAATGTATATTGTCATTGTCCGTCCACGTCTTCTTCTGTGGGTCTTCTTTAGACTTGTGTGTGTGTGCATCATCTGCCAGCTTGCGTGCTTGTGAGCAAGTGCACCCTCTCCTCGTCAGGGCAGGCATCGGACGCACGGGCTGCTTCATCGCCTGCAGCGCCTGCTGTGAGCAGCTGGAGCAGGAAGGACAGGTGGACGTGCTGGGGACCGTCTGCCGGCTGCGGCTCGACAGGTGTGGCATTAACGATAACATCACCTGATCCAGCATGCGATTTAATTGCAGTCATCCATGAAATGAATTTGATTCACAGTAAGAAAGTGGCTGAATGTAGCTATGTTATTTCAGTACGTTTCACAGTACTGCTTTCTGTTGTGATGTCATCCCCATTGCTAGTCAGCCTCTGTAAATAATGTCTTCTGTTATTATCAGGGGTGGGATGATCCAGACCACTGAGCAATACCAGTTCCTTTACTTGGCCTTAGCCTTGCACAGCAAGAAACTGGGAGAGAAGGACACCGACCAGTCCACAGACTCTATCTCCTCAAAGAGAAGAGAACAGGAGCAGGAACATGACCCTGGACCACAGGAGTCAGTGTCTGAGTGACACAGGCTCTGACCATTCGACACGCAGAGACCTGTCAAACATCAAGGACCCGCTGAGCATCTCTCTGCGCTCCTCAGCATAGTGGCTGGACATCACCCTTGTGGGTCCTACGCTGAAGTTGCTTCAAGGTTCACTCAGGCAAAACTTTCTTACAAACGGAAATGAATAAATGCTTTTGAAATAAACATATATATTTACATATATATCATATTTATTTTTAAGTGGATTGTCTTGAAAATTGCTAAAAATGGCAAACTAAACAGTATTTTTTTTATCTCAGCTAATGATGTGTGAAATCAGTGTCCCAAAGCAGCTTTAGCGATCCGCAGTGACATTTTGGCACTGGTGAAGCACCAATGCAGGCTGCTCTCACTTCCGGGATGCTCTCCGATTGTACGTCATTGACTGATGAGGACTGTTTAATCTCATGCTTATAAAGAGGATCATCCGAAATACACTGTCGCAGGTTTGCCATGAAACGCCGCTTTTAATACGAACCATGTGTAAGTTGATTTGCTTCTCAAATTGATGATTGAAATGGTAGCACTAGACAGGTGTGCTATTGCATTTCAGTTGTGAAACAAATGGCGGATGAAAGTTTATTTGTGTTATAGGTTTGTATGCGTATATACATGCCATGTATCAGGATTAAAACATTTCAAAACAAATCTTAAGTTAAAATATTACAATTGTAATTATTTGAGATACTTACTTGCTGCCCTTCTTTGTCTATATATATAATTTTAAAAGGTATTTAAAAGGCATATTGCATGATGAACAGATGATTTTTTTTTCTGTATGCACAGACCCTCCATTCTGCCTTACAGAATACTCAGAATAAAGAGCATATTAATAACCAGGTTCATTTGAGCCATTTCCTAAAACAAGTTGTATTTTATGTAAAGCTTTATGAAGCACCTGTTTGGTCACTCTTTAATACAACCATTAGGACTGGAAAACTGAATGAAGCTATGATTGCCATTGTTAGTTATTCTGTTAATCAGAATTTATTTCTGGTACCTGCAAACCCAGTGTCTTGTAAAAAACAACAGGTTCTTCGCAGATTTTGGCCCTGTGATTCTTGGGTTTAATAAACTTTATTCCTGAATAACAAGCCACAACAAATTACAGCTCAAGAGTAATATTTGCTAAAGGTATAGGGAAAAACATTGACCCATCTTCAAAGGCTTAACCTAGTCAGGGTTACTGGGAGTGCTGGAGCCGGTTCATGGCAGCATTAGGGACAAGACAGGGAACACCCTGGACAAGATTCCAGTCCATCACCAGGCAGATACATGCAATTTAGAGATACCAATTAATCTAAGTCCAGATCTGTTTCATTATTGCATTTTTTTAAGTGGCCTTTGTATGCTAGTTAAAACACATGTAATTAAAATTGCAAAAAGCCCAGTTGTACTTGAGAAAATTATCACACATAACATGATAAACTACTGTAAAAGTATGAGCTTTTGGATGATTGAGTTAGACTGATGAATCACACAAAACATGTTAAGCTAAAGCGGTTTCTAACTCGCCTTTTTTTCAAACCTGCAAAACAGGAATACCACTAAACTCAATAGGCCTAAGGGGATTGGAAAACATTCTCTTTATGCCCCTTAATAAAATGGGCAGTCTCTATCTATCTTCCCAGCGGTGCATCACTGGGCACCATTCACACACACAATCATACGATATGGGCAAATTAAAATAATCAGCCTAGTGTTACTCAACCCAGTTTTTGGGGACCCCGAGACAGTGCACATTTTTGCTTCCTCCCAGCTCCCATCACGCTTGTACCAGGTATTCTGTGTTCTTGATTGATTGGTCCTGGTGTGCTGTCACCTGGGAGGCAGCAAAAATGTGCACTGTCTGGAGATCCCTGAGGGCCAGATTGAGAAACACTGAGTTAGTCAGACCGCATGGTTTTGGTCAGTGGGAGAGCTGAGTGCCCAGAGAACACCTCAGCAGAAGGAGAACATTTGGTTGTAGGATTCAAACCCCCAAACCTGGGGGGTGTTGGGGGACAGCAGTGCTACTCACTGACCATCCTGGCCAAAGTCAGAAAAAAATCCAGAACAGTACAGATACCAGAGATATCAGACTGAAGATCCTGTTGTAAAATGCTTTGATTAATTTGATGCATGCATAGCAATTTGAAACATTCTGAAGAAAATGAGAATGGGGCATGACTGCGCTGAATGTGGGCTTCATTACATCATACTCTTTGAAACTATTTGAAATGCTGCAGCTTGATTTACTTTTGAAAAAAAAATGAAGCTCTAGTTGATGACTTGAGAATAGAGCCGGTGGACCACAAAAAAAAAAAAACTCAGATAAAAGGTACAAAATTATCTCAGATCACCCATCTGTTTTTGGTTGCTACCTGACATCAGAAAACCACAAAAACATTTCTGAGTTATATAAAGCCTGTCTAAACCTCAGATCTTGCTGCTATCTACAGTGTGTTGCACTGAGCAGTGCTGTTGCAGTCTGTTTTTATGAATCTATCTACGTTATACAGACAAAAACCTTGGAGACATCTGGCCATTACACCTACATGAACTTTTATGACGTCCAATTCTAAATCCATAGGCATCAATATGGAGTTGGTTCCCGCTTCACAACTATAACAGCTGCCACTCTTCTGGGAAGGCTTTCCACAGGATTTTGGAATGTGTCTGTGGGAATTTTTGGCCATTCATCCAGAAGGGCATTTGTGAGGTCTGGCACTGATGTTGGATGTGAAGGCCTGAAACGCAATCTCTGTTACAGTTCATCCCAAAGGTGTTCAATGGGTTTGAGATCAGGGCTCTGTGCAGGACAGTCAAGTTCCTCCACACCAAACTCTGCCAACCATGTCTTTATGAACCTTGCTCTGTGCACTGGGGCACAGTCATGCTGGAACAGAAAAGGTCCTTCCCCAAACTGTTCCCACAAAGTTGGAAATTGTCCAAAATGTCTGTATGCTGAAGCAGTATGAGTTCTCTTCACTGGAGCTAAGTGGCCGAGCCCAACCCATGGAAAAACACCCCCACACCATTATCCCACCTCCACCAAACTTTATATTTGGCACAATGCAGTCAGGCAGGTAATATTCTCCTGGCGTCTGCCAAAACCAGACTCATCCAATCAGACTGCCAGACAGAGAAGCGTGATTCATCGCTCCACAGAACACGTTTTCACTGCTCCAGAGTCCAGTGGCAGCGTGCTTTACACCACTCCATCTGACGCTTGGCATTGCGCTTGGTGATGTGAGGCTTGCATGCAGCTGCTGGGCCATGGATGCCCATTCCAAGGCACACAGTTTTTGTGCTGGGGTTAATGCCAGAGGAAGTTTGGAACTCTGCAGTCATCAAGTCAACAGAGCACTGGTGACTTTTATACACTATGTACCTCAACACTTGGCAACCCCATTCTTAATTTACATAGTCTGCTGCTTCATGGCTGATTTTCTGTTTTTCCCAATTGCTTCCACTTTGTTACACTACCACTAACAGTTGACAGTTGGATTATTTAGCAGGGAAGAAATTTTACAAACTGACTTATTGCAAAGGTGGCATCCTGTGGCAGTGCCATCCCTGAATTCACTGAGCTCTTCAGAACGACCTGTTCTTTCATAAATGTTTGTAAGCCTGACTGCTTGGCTAGGTGCTTCATTTTATGCAACTGTACTAATGGGTTTGAATGAAACACCTGAATTCAATGGTTTTGTCTATATAGTGTAGTTTCTCTTTTTGACTCGTAGCCTACCTAAACTATAGTATCCCGTTAGCTCCCATTCAAACCTTTGCCTGAACGCTGATCATGATTTTGGAGTTCTAGACTAATAGAATACACTGGAATCTTGGGTCCAACCTCTTTGTCTTGTGTTCTTACAGCAATGTTTATATCATGGAAGGAGACATAAAAATGCATAGGTCTACTGCATGAGATTACTTGGAACTTGCAGTATTGGCGCTGTATTTCTGCTGTTTAAGATGTACCTTCTGTATTCATTACAGTATGTTATAAATACTGAAAAGGTTTATTATTCCTTAAGTTTACTAAGTCAGTTATTCGAGTATTAGTTTTAACAATGCAATTTTCAAAATGTTTTGAATAACATTACAAGCATTCGCACGAGCAGTAAAACAGTGTGAAGGCATATTTCTTTAAATATAATGGTTAGCCTGAATTTTATTTGTTTTGTGTATGTATGTGTGCCTTGCATTGAAAAGGTAACCTGTCCAGTGTTTGCCTAACTTGTTCCTTGTGGTTCCTAGATTAGCTCTCATCCTGCTCCCCAGTCCAGACAAGGCAGACAAGTGAAAAAAATCCATTTGAACTCACTCTACTCCTTCACAGAAATAAACTTCACCTTTTCAGCGTTGGGTTTCTCCTTTTTTTTGATTGGCTGCTTGAATTATACAAAACTAGCAAACAGTAGTTTTGAAACTCAACACATTCTTCCAATTTGAGCTGTCACCATTCCAGTCCATGGGTTTGAATACTTTTGCTTTCTGTTTCACATATAAAGTCTTTCAGATGCATGCATCAAGGCTGGGGTGTTTATGAAACCTGTTTATGTGGCAGACAGAAGGAAACAATGACACTATTATTAGTCTCTTAGGACCCACCTAGACTGAGAAGAACTGCTTAAACTTTTTGTCTGTAAATGTACTGCCTGTTTGAGGAATCCTAGAAACCACTACAAGTCATAATGATCCTTTCATTAAGCTTTTTGAATGCATGTTGTCCATGCAACCCAGTCTAACTGTGAAAGTGACATTTCTCAATACGCGTCATGCATCAACCATGCAAATGAGGTAAGTGTCACAAATAGCAAGCTTGCCGTTGGATGTGGTGAAACACAAATACTTCCCTGTCCTGCTTCATTCTGCATGTCAGTGTCCTGTTTGGCCAGTAGGTGTCGCTGGTCATCCTGTTTGGCCTCCTAATGTCTTCCCTTGTTCCTCGAGCTCCCACCTGGCTTAATGGGTTGAGTGAGTAGCTACGCCCGCTAGACTTTCCTTTGTGTTGTGTGTAACTCAACTATGTTTGTGATTTAACATTTATGTTTTTGTGCATGTCACTGGTTAATTGTGCATTGTTGTGCATCTGTTACCATTCCTTGTTTTTGCTCCCTGCTATTCCCTGTTTGTAGTAATGTTCAGTTAGCATTGTTCTCTACTCTCCCCTGGTCTTTGTGTGTGTTTGTGTATGTGTGTTGTTGCCTTTGCTTCCTGCCTGTTTCCCCATAGATGTTAGCATTTGTTTACCTTATGCCCACTGTATATGCTGCTTGCCTGTAACCTCTTCCCAGATGTGCTTGGTTGTTCACCTGTTTGTTTTCAGCCCTTGTGGTGTTTTCTGGTTTCCTTTGTTGAGTTCAGTTTGTTGAACTAAAATCCATTTTGTTCTGAGAGCTGCACAGTGGATTGTCCTCTTGCTACGCGCCGGCATAACAAACCCAGACACAGCAGGCTATTCTATAAAGTCTGATGGAGCTCAAAATTGGCGCTGTGGCAGCCGTTCGTTATTTTGTTGTGTGGTGGCGGTTGACACTAGGTGGCAGTGTGGGCTGAGTAAACTGCAGGTCACGGTGGCTCGGGGGCGATAGCAAAACCGTACAAAGCCACAGGCGCAGCAGGTGAGGTGGCGGGGTGATCATATGGTTTTTACCCCTAACATGCCATAACTATATTAACCCTCACATTGTTATATGTTGTAACCTTTCATAGTATCGCTAATAAATGGGAACATCACCCAAAGATGAATTCGTTGTGGACCTCAAGTTACTTTGTATAGTGAACCTGCATAGCGAGTCACTAACAGGATTTATCCGCCCTCCAGTGGAGTGTCTTATTTTGGACAGTTAATACAGGTGCAATGCTGAGAATCTCACCAGAATAATTTTGTTTCTGCTCCAGAAGAACATCTCATTGGGGAATGCAAAACTGATCAAATGCTGAAGCTTCACAATAATGGAGGTCACTGTGCCGATCGTATCATTTGCCAGAGCTATGATGGAGCGTCTGTGAGGAGCAGGGTGAATGGTAGAGCGCAGACGCCGCTGTAAAGCTTGGTAGATGCACCCATCCATCCATTGGCAAAATCATCTGCTATGACTCACAGTATTACAAACAATGCAAGCATGTTCATGCGTTAAATCGTTTTTTTTCCCATTTTCAGAGCCACTTTATGGTTCATTACAGTCATTGTGATGTGAAGTAGGAAGAGTTTAGTGAAAACCAAGACTACATGTTCTGATGGACTGGTGTGTCTGAGTGTTGTGCTGCACCCAAGGATTTACAGATGAGAAAGCATATTTTACAGATGGGAAAGTTCCTTTTGAAGGTTCTTAATGTCTTGAAGTCAACAAATTCAATTTTGTAAGCCCATTCATTTAATTTGTGTGGAGCTGGGGAGCTAATCAGTACTCCTTTGGAAGCTTTAAAGGATTTGTGAACTGATGCCTCTAGATGTGTCAGTGAGTTCAACTTTTAAGATGAAAGAGGATAGTCATCAATCAGCTGACTGGCAGTTTTATGCATTTCGCTGTGGGACAGACGCCATCCTGATACTGGATGAGAATTGGCAGAGGCCTCCAGCTTCAATATTACAACAATATTTGTTTGCCAAACTGATATGTATTGCAATTTTGAAAGTGGTATTCGGATTTTGAAAGTGACATTGAATTTTTTTTTTAAACTTTTGCTGAAAAGAAGTTAATCTTGCTTAACAATATTTGTTACTTTTAACACACTTCCTCTTCAGCATTACATGTCTAGATTTATAAGTATAGATCAGGGGTGACCAATCTTATCCACAAAGGGCAGGTTTTCGCTGCAACTCCCTAGTTAGATTACTAATAAGAGGACTGATTTGCTGAAGAGTCCTCACACCGGAGTTTGAACAGCTCACCTACAGGTTATCCCAAAAACCTGCATACACACGGGCCCTTTGCAGATAAGATTGGCCACCCCTGGTATAGATTGTCGATATTGTTCCCTGTCCTAGTCCATGTGTCAATTCCCTATTTGGCCAACAGGTGTCGCTGGTGATCACATCTCCCAATATTTCACAGGTTTTAGTTCCTAGTGTAGGGGTGCGCAGTCTTACCCAGAAAGGGCCGCTGTGCATGCAGGTTCTCTCTGGAACTCCCTAATTATATTACTAATTAGAGAACTGTTTGGCTGAAGAGTCCTCGCACCTGGGCTTGAATAGCTGACCTACAGGTTATCCCAAAACCCTGCATACACACCGGCCCATTGCAGATAAGATTGCCCACCCCTGTCCTAGTGTGTACTCTTGTTCCCCGGTCTGCCACGAGACTCAATGGGCTGAGCGTGCAGCAATGAGAGAGGCATCCCTACCATGTGGGATTAGAGGCTGGCTAGAGGTCAGCTATTTAAAATTTAACATTTGTTTTTTTGTTACATACCTCTGATAAGGTTCTTGGTGTATTTTTGTTAGTTCCTTGTTTTTGCTACTTATCTCCTTTTTTCAGTTATGTTCTGTACTCATGTTTCTAGTCTTTCCAAGTGTCTGTGTCTGTGTCTGTAGTGATTCTTGATTATGCTCACCTGTTTCTTGTTAGTCATAGTGCTTAGTGTACTGTAATAGCCCACACCTGTTCCTGGTGGTAGCCCTCTTTATGTATGTATAAGTGCCTGCCCTTGGCACGTCATTATTATTGTTGTTGTTACAAGAAAATAAAATTAGAAGAATCGTATGGGTAGAATGAGATTCCCCCTTAAATGAAAGTACTCTTTGTGTGCTGTCCAGTTAATTATGTGAGACTTCACATGGTTTCTGCCAAATTGCAAACAGCAGGACTGACCTAAGACCACAGATAGAACTGATAAGCGGGAACTCATATAAAATTCTTGCGCCATAATTTCTTATATCATCCTGGTCTGAAATAAGATACATTTAAATCACATTGTAGAACTAGTTATTGTTTATATATGTGGTAGACAATAATAATAAGTGATATTAGCTGTTTTTCAGATATTTTATGCAGGTATCTTTTTGCTGTCATATGTTGACAGGGGAATATTACAGGTTGGTATTGCTATATTTTTAAATTCTTTTCTAGTCTGATTCATCTAAATTCTAGCTTCGGTATGATGCTAATGCTATATGCTCTTGGTGTCCAAAAAGCTGTGAACAGCAAAGCCAAACCTCAGAATTTCTATAAAAAGTTTATGCCGCTTCCGGGTGAGCTTAGATCAGCAGCCTGTGTCTCGCTTGCAGCAGCTGTGCGCCGGGTACCAGGCGAACCGTTACAGCATGACTGTGCTCCCGTGCATCCTCATGCTCCTGTACGCTGGTAAGAGCTCCACATGTCATACTGTAACGAATTTGATAATCTGTAAATCTTAATGTTATGTTTTATTAAGGTGACTGATGGGCCTACTGAAGGGTCTCTAACTGCGTGCAGGAAGTGAATAAAAGTTTAATTTCGTGGGGAAAAAATTTCGTTGAAGATCGACGATACATTTGTTGTAATGATACCTATATGTACACCCAGCTATCAACGGAACGTTACGATTAAGGTATAGAAACGTTCAAAATGTCCAGTTTTCCTGATGTTCTCATAAAATTATTCCACTAATAAAACTATTGTTACTTCATTAGTTGCTTAGTTCATTACTTTATTATTATTATAATAATAAAGCTGAAACAAACGAAGGGCATGGTAGGGCGGAGGGTAGAAGATTTTTCAGTGTTAAAAAGAGCTTATTATGTTGTGCTACCATTGACAACCGTTAAATGTAAAACGTTCCATTAACTTTAGTATGTAAAGTAACTTTAGAAGAAGCGGGAGTTACAGTATAGTCTTGTTCTTTGTCTCCCTGTAATATTAATAATAATAATAATAATAATAATAATAATAATAATAATAAATAAAAACAAAAACTCATGAATCATATATCGTAAAGAACACCACACAGCAATTATAAATGGGAACTGAAACGAGCCCTGGCCAGCAGCATATCCGCAGCGCCGATTATTATTTCCTCTCATACGTCGCTGCAATTTGCAAGGCGGAATTAAGACGGGCTATCATGCTTATTAACCTAAACACTAAGACTGTTAAACGTTTGACTCTACCATCCAGCATTTCCTATTGCTCTGACCTTACGACCCGCAATGATGTCTGATTAAATAATACAATATATCCCGATTTCCACTCATCCTCGGTTATGGGCAAACTCGGTCCTTCAGACTTGATGATACTGAGGGGAGACGGTATCGCTCGGCGGAGGCACCTCCGGTACTTTGCGACGCCACCTCCAGGTCTTGTTTCAGAATGACCTGATAAACCCAGAAGCCATTTTTTTCGTGAGTTGTTCATTTCTGCGAGAATTTTAACATTATGAAATAGGTTTTCTTTTGCTTCTACACAGAGAGTAGTGCAGCTGTCCAGGTTTACTGGTAAAATAATGCAAATAACAATTAAGGAAGTGAAGACATATCGAAAATGACAGATGAAAATGAGTGGGAGGAACTGATGTTAATAATTTGAAAGTGACCGTGTATGTTTGTCATAGAGCTGGGCGATATATGGTCTAAAAATAAAATCTCCGATTTTTTCACAAAAAATCCGATTTCCGATTTTAATCGATTTTCCCCTCCCCTACTCAAAATCAAACTACAGATGACAAAAATGGTTCAAAACAAGTTTTAACTTTATTTAGCTTTTTTTTGTTTTTACTTTAGGGTTTAAGTGCAGTCTGACAAGCCATAAAAGATGCTTGTAAGTGAGATGGCAGACCACGCCATTGTTAACACTTTTAGAAACTTGTAAAAACTTTTAGAAAGCTTTCTCTATAGCTTATTTTCAAACTGGCAACAACACAATACGCCCTCAAACTTATAAATAAAAGTAATAAGTAATATTGTAATAATAAGAGAAAAAAAAACACACAATTTTATCATGTCAGCTTGGTATTAAGTAAATACTTTATGCCATTGGGCTTGACATAGTGCAAAATAAAGCTTTTGAAAAATTGCCAGTGTTAAGAAAAATGAGGCAGGTACTTCGGGTCTAAAACTTTTAGCATGTTAATGAATCCCAGCTTTTCCACAGTATGTATGGGCACCATGTCTTTTGCACAATACATCACGACAGCGTTTGCTATCGTCTTCCATCATGCCCGATTCTTATCATATGGCACATAGTTCGAAAATGTGTCAGGGACGGTTGCTTGCTTAACTTTGTTTGTTGTGCTGGTGCTGCGGCTATTTTCATTTCGCTGGGAGCGGCACTTCTCCCACTCCGCTGCTTGCCTCTGCTTTACATGCTGGAATAAATTAGTCGCGCTGCTTCCTTTGGTTGCAACAGTTTTTAAAGTCTTTGCAACGAGGACTTGTTTGGTCTGTGTCCGACCTCGCAAAACCGAACCAATTCCACATTACAGATGTAGCAACACTTTTCTTGGGCACAAGCGCCAGCTTTTACCCCGTCATTGCCATGTTGTTAGTGAATCTGCTACAGTGTTTGGGTGCGCCGCGCTAATTTACCCGTGAAGAATGGTGCGTCGCATTAGTTCCGCTTTTGGCACTCGTGTGTAAAAAAAGTAAATAAAAAAAAATAAAATGGATTTTCATGAAAACACATCGTCCTGAACTTAAATCGATTTATTGCCCAGCTCTAGTTTGTCAGGATTTAAAATCAGTCCAATTAATTCCACAGATAAATTTTTTATCTCTGCATGAACGCATGAACCAGCCGACAAGTCCATTTTAATAACACTGATCTAAAATGCAGTTGAAATCATAAATAAAGGTGCCATGCTGCTGCATCATTAGATGCTTCCTGCTTATAACCTAAAGCATTATAAGTAATTTCACCCTTGGGGCCAATAAAGTTTACCTTGCTAGTGACCTACTTAAAATAAGCCTTTGCAAGCTTGTTTATTTATACTTCATAAAACAGTCATTTCCGTGTAGAGAGTTAATTTATTATGGCACGGTGGCTCATTAATGACCCCGAGATACTTAAACTCCTCCACTTGAGGAAGGACCCCCTCCCCGACCCAGAGAGAGCACTCCACTTTTTTCCGGCTGAGGACCATGGTCTCGGGTTTGGAGGTGCTGATTTTCATACCAGCCACTTCACTACAGGCTCCGAACTGCTCCAGTGAGAGCCGAAGGCCATGGTCCGATGAAGCCAACAGAACCACATCATCTGCAAAAAGCAGAGACCTAATCCTGAGGTCACCAAGCCGGACACCCTCAACGCCCTGGCTGCGCCCAGAAATTATGTCCATAAAAGTTATGAACAGAATCGGTGACAAAGGGCAGCCTGGCAGAGTCCGACCCTCACTGGAAACGAGTCCGACTTACTGCCGACAATGCGGACCAAGCTCTGACACCGTCGTACAGGGACCGAACAGCCCTTATAAGTAAGCCCGGCACCCCATACTCCCGGAGCACTCCCCACAGGACTCCCCAAGGGACACGGTCGAATGCCTTCTCCAAGTCCACAAAACACATGTAGACTGGTTGGGCAAACTCCCACGCACCCTCCAGGACCCTGCTGAGAGTATAAAGCTGGTCCACTGTTCCATGGCCAGAGCAAAAACCACACTGCTCCTCCTGAATCTGAGATTTGACAATCCGACGGACCCTACTCTCCAGGACCCCCGAATAGACCAGGGAGGCTGAGGAGTGTGATCCCCCTATAGTTGGAGCACACCCTCCGGTCCCCCTTCTTGAAGAGGGGGACCACCACCCCGGTCTGCCCACCGGTTCTCATCACCTGCCTCTGGAGTTCCACAGGCCAAACAGGACTGATAGGACTTCTTCAGCTTGACGGCATCCCTCACTGGCGGTGTCCACTTGCGTTCGGGGATTGCCGCCGCGACAGACACCGACCACCATACGGCCACAGCTCCGGTCAGCTGCCTCCACAATGGAGGCGCGGAACATGGCCCATTCGGACTCAATGTCCCCCACCTCCCCCGGGACATGGGAGAAGTTCTGCCGGAGGTACTGTAGGAGTTGAAGCTCCTTCTGACAGGGGATTCCGCCAGACGTTTTCAGCATACCCTCACTATACGCTTGGGGCTGCCAGGCCTGACCGGCTTCCTCCTCCACCAGTGGAGCCAACCTACCACCAGGTGGTGATCGGTTGACAGCTCCGCCCCTCTCTTCACCCGAGTGTCCAAGACATGCGGCCGTAAGTTCGATGACACGACTACAAAGTCGATCATTGAACTGCGGCCTAGGGTGTCTTGCTGCCAAGTGCACATATGGACACCCTTATGTTTAACATGGTGTTCATTATGGACAATCCGTGACGAGCACAGAAGTCCAATAACAAAACACCACTCTGGTTCAGATTGGGGGGGGCTGTTCCTCCCGATCACACCTCTCCAGGTCTCACTGTCATTGCCCACGTGAGCATTGAAGTCCCCCAGCAGAACAAGAGAGTCCCCAGGAGGAGCGCTCTCCAACACCCCTTCCAAGGACTCCAAAAAGGGTGGGTATTCTGAACTGCCGTTTGGCGCATAAGCACAAACAGTCAGGACCCATCCCCCCACCCGAAGGCGAAGGGAGGCTACCCTCTCGTCCAGCCAGGGGCAATAAGTATGCCCACCCCTGCTCGGCGCCTCTCCCTGCGAGCAACTCCAGAGTGGAAGAGGGTCCAACCCCCCTCAAGGAGACTTGTTCCAGAGCCCAAGCTGTGCGTCGATGTGAGCCCAACTATATCTAATCAGAACCTCACAATCTCGCGCACCAGCTCAGGTTCCTTCTCTGTCAGAGAGGTGACATTCCATGTCCCTAGTGCCAGGTTCTGCAGCCGAGGATCAGACCACCAAGGTCCCCGCCTTAGGCCACTGCCCAACTCGCACTGCACCCGACCCCTATGACCCCTCCTACGGGTGGTGAGCCCATTGGAGGGGGGACCCATGTTCCTTCTTCGGGCTGTGCCCGACCAGGCCCCATGGGTGCAGGCCTGGCCACCAAGTGCTTGCCATCGAGCCCCACCCCCAAGCCTGGCTCGGGGGGGGGCAGTGACCCGTGTCCAAGCGAGGGAAAACATGAGTCTATTTTGTTTGTCATCATAAGGGGTCTAATGAGCTGCATTTCGTCTGGTTCCTCACCCAGGACCTGTTTGCCTTGGGTGACCCTACCAGGGGCATAAAGCCCTGGGCAACTTAGATCCTCCACCACGATAAGGCGTCGGCTCCAGGAGAGGAGAACAAGATCTACTGTGGTAAAATGTAATATGAGTCCCAATCACAGCAGTGACCACAATCTTTGGGACAAATGCATTTTTTAAATGCACACACAATAATTAAATATTTAAGAGGAAACGGAAAAAACATTTTAAATGTTTTTAAACCCTGCAACCTCTATGACATGGTTACCACGTCAAACGCAGAATGACCCAGCTGTGGGTTTAAATTCCCCTCCTGCATTACGTATGCCGTGTCCATGTTCTCCGTGTTTGAATGGGGGATCCTCCCACAGCCCAAAGACGTGTGGAACTGTGGCCTCTGTTATATGGCATAAGCTCTTGATTACTGAAGAGGAGAGCTTAGTAGCTTCAGACTTCCAGACTTGGGCAGATTTCTTTTAGATACTCCATTTTCCTGCCCAAAAACATGCTGTTAGGATAATTCTTGTCTTTAAAATGCCCATATTTTATAGTTATGTGTGTGAATGATGCCCTGAATTTGGATCGCATTCAGGATAAGTAATGGGAAAATGGAGGCAACTGCACTGTTTGAAAATGATACAAAAATAAAACATTTTAGAAAACCCTTAAGTTTAGGTTAGCAGTATTCCTCAGTATTTTGTAGGTTTGAAAAAAATAGCCAGTTAGAGACAGATTTGGCTTAATCTGTCTTGCATAGTAAGTATGATAATTAAGAGCTCAATGTGATACGGAAGCAAGCTCAGCTGTGTGAGACCTGGAACCAAGGAATGGTTGACTTTACAGACACCTTTTTATATATGGTTTTAGGAAGAGAAATGTTTTAGTTATGTTCCTAGCATAATGCTGTAATACCAACAGACCCCCTTTTGTTACACAGAACATTGAAACTCATGCAAGAACAGCGCTTTAAGACATCGGTGTCAGCAGGTGTCTCATGCAGGATATGATACCTCTGATTTCAGAACAGCATTTAAAGACCCACCATTACTGTTTTTACTCATCATTAGGTTTTTTGCAAGCAACATGAGACAACTGACTCCAGTACAGTGTTTATGAATATGTTCCTGCTCTCTTTGTTTGTTGATTTCTCTAAGTAGGTGTTTTGTGCAGGATTAGGATAAGGGTTTGTCAGCACCTGCCGCTACACAGTCAACCATCAAAATTTGTATTTCTCATGAGACATGGATGAATAACGCCTCGATACACTTTTTTAACAGACTCATGCTTCTGTATGGGCCCCTGGGTACTGAGGTGCCCCTACATGCCAGAACAGAAAGACATGCACCGTGTCTGGTGCAAGAGGACCTCTGCTGATTGCTGCTCCGGTATTGTCTTCAACAACACCACGTCCCAGCTGGAAAACGGTGCAGTCATGGTGCACGAGGATTCTGGGACCTTCAGCCTGAAAGTATTGCGGCTCTCCCAGGGTGAGGGGGTCTACTGGTGTGGACTGCTGAATCTTAAGAGTGACATCATCAAATTGGCTGAGATGGAGATGCAGCGTGGTAGGTCTGATGGCTCTTTGTTAAGATTGGCTAATGTATTGATTTCAACTGCTGCAGGTTTACACTGGTAAGATGCCGCCAGTTTGGAAAACCAGCCCACTCTTAGAAGAAAATTTAAATTGGGGGTGGTGTGTGGCCGAAGGAGGGGTGGACTTACCATAAGACAATTGTGGGCAGCCGGCTGGGCTCCCAAACACTAGGCGCCCCATGAAGATTGAATTTCCATAAGTTAGATTTGTGAATATAAGATAATATGATCGTATACGTTATAAAAACATGTCTGTTATTTGCAGTTTTAGTTGGTACAATACCGCCCTCCCCCCGAATGACAAATTTTACCGCCAGCACTTTTGCCCCCACCCTGACAAGTAAGTTCTGCTACTGGCACCCTATGCTTTGATTAGGAGATTATTGACGTTCTATCAATTTATAATCCTTCTCATTTCTCATTTGATTCCAAAAAATAGCTCGAATGACCCACTTGGGGGGGGGGGGGGGGGGGGTGCCCTAAGCATGTCAGCCTAGGGCCCCCAGATAAGTTAGTGCAGCTCTGGGCTCAACAGGTTAGGATGTGATTAGAAGGTCACCGGGTCAAATCCCAGGGTCCATAGACTGACTTCACCATTGGGCCTGACTCACAATTGGCCCTTACTCACCACTGGGCCTCACTCACCATTGGCCCTGACTCACCATCGGGCCTCACTCACCACTGGCCCTGACTCACCATTAGGCAAGGTCCTGGAACTCAGTTGTTTCAGGGTCTGGCTGATCCTGTCTCCTCAATTGTATGTTGTGTTTCATAAAATTCCTTAGTTGTATGTTGTGTTTCATAAAAGCATCTGCTAAGTAAATGTGAGTGATTTTGTAGCAAACTGCATTTGTTTTCCTCAGACCTTCTGAATGATGTGTGGTGGATTCTCCGCTGGATCCTGATGGCAGTATTACTTACAATAACACCCACCATGCACCTGTGCTTCAGGATTAAGGTTGTGACCACTTTTTAACACTTTCACTGCTATTCCAATTTGTTGAGCGATCAAAATGACTTTTTTATTACGTATCGTGTGTTTAAAATTTGAGATTTAGATTAAATTGAGATTAAATTTTCATTTCTAAAAAATGTTTTCAAATATTTCTCCCAAATCAGCACGAAAATTCCGTAGGGACAAAGTTTACATGTATAAAGAAACAGCATTAGGTCTAAAATTTATTCACTTCAGTTACTCATCAATGTTGGAAAAAAACAGGCATTGATGGCACTGTCTTTCTTTTTGTTGTTATTATATGATCTATTAATTCCTGTCATGCAACTTAATTCCTGGATGAATCCTATTTAGAAAAGATATTAAATTCCAAACACCTTTGCTCTACATTTTGGCTTCCTGTTTTTTCAGAAAAAAAGACAAAGTTAGAGATGAGGCTATCAAACTGGAAACACTGTCTGATGCTTGACAGAGGGACTGAGATGCCTCTTTACGACAGAAGCTGAACAGCTGTAATATTTGCCATTTTGCCCAGTAAGAGAGAACCCATTTAAATTGTTGCATTAATTTTTTGATACAATATTTTCATGCTTGTCAGGTCAAAATGCTTTTCAGAATTAAATAAATATAATAAATGTAATAAATAAATGTACTAAATAAATCTACCGAGAAAATTGTTTATTTCTTCCAGCTTTTATTTAATTATTAAATTATTTCTTACTGGTTTAGTTAAATTATTTGTTTATATATTTATTTTGATACTGCCGTACATGACATGAAAAAAGCCTTGAAATGTAAACTTTCACAGATAAGACATAGAGGTCTTAGTGATTGTTTGAGTGCTTCCAAGCCTCTAGTGGCTGCAGTTTGCAGCAATCGAACCATGAGTCACAGGTGGATGAGTGAAAGGAAAAATTAGCTGTCCAGTATTGCTTCACTAAGCAACTTTACAGGATGGCCATCTAGGGGCACCGTTCCCAAAAACTCTCATTAGAAACTTATATAGTTGTACCCATTCAGTTAGCAACTGTGCTTAAGGGAAACGTCTCCAAGGGTGAGTCACACTGCAATCAGATATTCTCATTTGTAGCCTGCTGCATTGCAGAAGTTCCTCAAAGTTTGAAAATACATTTTCATCAGAGTAGTACACAGAAAGAGTTGCCACCACTGCAGTCTCTTCTGACACCCTTTCAGTTTTCTCTCTGAAGTCTGTTATAAGATGGGCAGCATCCATTTCATCTGCAGTAATCAGTATTTTTCATTCCAAATCTAGTAAGCTCTTCTGGGGGATACATTCCAAGACCTACCATAGATAGCTAAAACCATGGATAATGGCAAACCATCTGCGGACCCGTATCAGGTTAACCAACTTCGGTCAGCTGGCTAGAGTGAGTTTTTCAATTTGAGAGAACCCTGCACACACATGCACATGCATTTACATATAGTTAACAGTTTTATTACCTTATAAATAGTCTGTAGGGTTTGCAAACTGCCCCAGTAGCTAATTTTATGTTTACAATGGAATGACATAAATTTGCCCCTCCATGAGTCGCCACCTTATCATGGTGGGGGGGTTTGTGTGCCTCCATGATCTTACTAGCTGTGTTGTCAGGGGCAATTGCCCCTGGTAGGGTCTCCAAAGGCTAATTGGTCCTAAGTGAGCAGCCAGACTAATTGTGATTCCGAGCACCCCGATGAAAATAATACAATGGACCAGGTTACATCGCCAGGATTGGAGAGACCAGGGTCTCACCCTGGAGCCAGGCCTGGGGTGGGGGGAGACTGAAGACAAGTGTCTGGTGGCTGGGCCAATGAAGCTAGCTATGGTTTGCATTGCTAGCAGTAAGTCAGTCTCTTTCCTGGGGGTGTTGGACTATGGCATGGCTGCCTTACCATTGATTCTGTTCATAATCTTTATTGACAGAATTTTTAGGCATGGTGAAGGGGCGGAGGGGGTCTGGTTCGGGCGGCCTCAGGATTGTGTCTTAGCTTTTTGCAGATGATGTGGTTCTGCTGGCGTCACTGGGCTGTGACCTGCAGCTTGCACTGGGCAGGTTGCAACTGAGTGTGAGGCGGCTGGGATGAGGATCATCTGACGTTTTAACCTAAATCTCAAGAGATGATAGAGCAATGAAATTTGTCATGTACTAAAGGATGATGGAGCAAAGACAATCATGCATTGTATACCCCACAAAGGACGAAGCAACGGCGAAAGCACATTGATACTAGGGATAGCTGAAACCGCAGATACTGATGGACTGCTGTATATCCAGCGTGGCCATGCTGGGCTAGACAGGAGTGATCGAGTGAAAGTGACGCACCAAACAAAAAACCAGCATTCACCAGAGCCCTCCCTCAAACCTTTGATGGCTGAATGTGACAGTGTGCATTTCAAGGTTTATTTCATGTCATGTATGGAATTATTGAAATCAATCAATCAGTTAATTAAACCAGCACGAAATAGCTCAAATAATTAAAATCTGGAAGAATATAAAATTTTCTCAATAAATTTATTCATGGTCATATGTCATTGACGTTTATGTATTGCCACATTACAGAGTATGTTTTTAAATTCATACATTTGTTTTATTTATGTTTAGTCCGAATAATCCCTCCATAGTTACAATCTTGTTAACAGTGTTTGAAACAATGCACTTACCACTGAATTATGCTTGCAGCGCTGTTTCTTTAATATTTGTATTTTCCAGCAGGGGGCAGTAAATATACAATAATTGCTACATCCCTATAAACATTAATCCTACAGCCAGTTTTAATGACATAATTCTACATTTTAATGCTATATTTAGAGAGAAACTAACTGCTGTAAATAAAATATGACAAATTGTATGAATTTATTCAGACTAATTGTCACATTCCATCAATGAAAGAGGCAGGAGCAGGTGTGAGGGTAAACCAAATGGGGGGGGTTTATTAAGGAAGGAGAACAGGGTTAACAAAACCTTACCATGTCGGGTCAAATACAAGACAAAACTGGCAGGTAGGGAAATCACTATAGCACACACTGGGGTGACATCAATGACCAAACTGGGGAGCACAGGACTGGGAGGCACTCTTATACACCATTGATGAGGAGCAAATGAGAGGCATCTGGTGTGAATCATATGAGGGCAGAAATGAGAGGTAAGACAAATTAGTAACAGGTGGGGCTCATTAGCGCCACACTGGGGAAAGAACAAGGGGGCAGGAATGCAGGGTGTGACACTAATGCATTTAAATTTCAATCAGCTCCCAAGTGGACCACCCGGCTATACGCTCCTATCTATAATAACATACCCTGGACAGCCTCAGTTCAGGTAAATCATATCCATCAGAAACGCAATGTTCAGATCTCAAGTTGGGAGTGACCTTAAACAATTGCCTGTCTAAACAAACAAAATGAGCTTTTTAATGTCCACGTCAGCTATGAGAAAAGTTGGGCCTATGTAACATTTTGTGACCTTAAAATAAACTAAAACAGTATATTGACTATGTGGTTGTTTCAAGCACTGCTGTGATGATTATTAATATTATTATTGTAAGGGTGGATCGCTGAGCAATGCTGCTCAATTACACGTCACAGACATGGTTCTGGGTTTTAGCCACGAGGTGACGTTTATCGCACCTATACCAGGCGTACTCCCAACACATTTGCACTACCCACCGTGCCCCTTGCCCCACTTACTTCTAACATGCACAGTGGGCACACACACACGTGGACATGCTATGTACAACAGTACGCATTTAGCACTATACTTGACACAACAAGACAGCACGATTATGTTACAACACAAAGGCTATGGAGATCTATCTAGAAAAGTCGGCATCATTCCAGCCTGCTGCGCTGCCCGCCAGTAGCAGCTGCCCCACTGCTACACCCCCAGGGGGTTAACCATCCCGGAACCCCCACAAAGTCCTGGAAACGTGCTGGGCTCCAGCGAGTCCTCTGCGGTTGCGGGGCCCCGAGTCCCCCACCATCCTAATCTGTCCCTGCTGCTGGGGCACTCACTGTCGGTCCTGCCTAGGGGCTGGTATAGAGCCAGGTGGTCGCGGTGCAGCACGACAGTCCTGCACTACTCCAGCATCCACACCCGGTACACCACCTCGGAGATCCATTCCAGGACCTTCCCAGGGCCACTCCAGTGGCTGTCGAGCTTAGGTGGCTGCACCTTCTTCCTGATGGGGCAGTCACCCAAATGGGGTGCTTAAGACGGAAGGCCCCAGCGGATGTCATACGCCCTCTTTTGTCTGGTCGTGACCATGTCCTGAAGGTTCCTGGCCAGTGCATGAAATGCACGCGCTCCTGGAGCTGGCACATGTAGTCCAGCCCCGGTGTCACTGGGAGCTCCGGCTCAGGTGGTGAGCTAGACACCAGTTCCACCAGGGTCCGTAGCTCACGGGCAAACATCAGGGCGGTGGGGGTGCAACCGATGCTCTTCTGCACCACTGCGCAATATGCCCACAGGACCTGGGGAAGGTGGGCATCCCAGTTGCGCTGGTGCTCGTCCATGAGGATTGCCAGCTGTGCGGCTAGAGTACGATGGACCTGCTGCATCAGCCTGTCGCTCTAAGGGTGAAGGGAGGTGGTGCGGGTCTTCATGATCCCCTGCCGCCGGCAGACGTCGCCGAACACCTCCATCTCAAAGTTCCTACCCTGTCATTATGCAGCTTGTTGGGGGGCCCTGAACCTGCGAAAGAGCTTAGCCGCTGTGGTGGTGGCGCTCTGATGAGGAACCGCATATGCTTCGGGCTAATTCGTGAAGTAGTCCATGGCCATGATCACGAACCGGATCCTAACCTCGGTGCGAGGGAAGGGGCCCAGGACGTCCACCCTTACCCTAACCCTAACCCCACCTGCTCCATGAGCCTGGCAAACATGTGTGGGGCGTTGCACAAGCCGAATGGCATTGACCGGAAGTGCCACAGACTATGGCCGATGGTGAAAGCAGTGTCAGGGCGAGCTTCAAGGGCCAGTTCGACCTGCCAGTAGCCAATCCAGAGGTCCAAGGTGCTGAACCATGTCGACCCAATGATGTAGTCCAGTGTATCGTCAATGCATGGCAGCGGATAGGAGCCTTTCCTTGTCACCACATTCATCCACCAGCAGTTTACACAGGAGCACTATGACCCATCCTCCTTGGGGACGAGGACTGCTGGAGCTGCCCACAGGCTGTTGGATGGCTCTATAACTCCTGTCGCTGCCATCATTCTTGTCACTTCGCCAGGGGCAGTCTGTGTAAGCACAGGCAAATGGGCGAGGATCCCCCGTGTCAATGTGGTGCCACACCAGGGAAGTGGGTGGGCAATCTTCATCCCTAGTAGCAAAGATATCCCAGAACGAGTCTAATTCCGCCGCTCCGCCATCAGGTCCTGGTTGCTACGCTGTACAGCTCGCAACGTCTGGGAAGATGGCCCCACCGCGATGTTACTGTGTTCTGTGATCGGGGCAAGGCTTGGGGCTGTGTTCCTGGTGTTCTTTGCCCAGGTGTGGTCTGCTGCTCCCTTCCTACAATGGGTGGTCTTCTTCATCCTCCCCTGCTGGGTGCCGTGCTGGAGGGCCACCACATCTGCGCCGAGTTGGAGAACTGCTCCAAGCACAGCCCAAAGCATCCATTCCGCTGTTATAACTCAATCAGCATGACATGGCAAAGAGGGACATTGCAATTAATTGCAATTCATCTGATCACGCTTCATAACATTCTAGAGTATATGCAAATCATCAGCAGACTTTGTAAAAATTTATATATGTGTCATTCTTAAAACTTTTGGCCACAGCTGTACAACAGTGAACATTTAACACTACACTTGACACAACACAGCACACTTATGTTATAACACAACGGCTACATAGAACTATTTACAAAACTGGCACCAGTCCAGCCTGCCCACCAGTACCCCAGCATTACATTATATAATAATAAAGATATACTTTACTAAATTTGTGCATGTATCTCTCATATTTATATGGAAGAAATACAAAAGTCACAGGTGTTGCTCAACAGAACATCTCCGCCATGGCCGATCAGCAGACAGGAAGAGAAGTTCCCACAGAAGCGTCGGTGAGAGGAGCCTGGACAAATCTTTGCCTCCCCAGCTGTCAGATGGGCACTCAAAGCATCACTACAGGCTGAATGAGCAGCTCCGTAAGGCCTTAAGTGCCGCGCGGGTAATGTAGTGAAATTATACGTAGACCTAGATTTGTTTATTTTTTCATGTGAAGGCCATATTACTGCCACAGTGTCTCTTTACATATTTGCATAACCTAATGCAAAAGTTCAAGATCGCATAACTTTCATTTGCTTTAAGGAAACACCTAAGGTTTGAAGAAGGATGCTTAAAATACCCCTTGGATTTGATATGCGACCAGTAAGCCTACGTAATATAACATTATATCCTAATAAAATATCAGTACGCCTAATTCAAATAACTCACATACATACGTAACCTACTGCGAAGACTATGCTGGCCTTTCTTCAATATCAGGCTTGACATTGGTTTATAAGACAGTCTCATCCGATGTTATATAATGTGTAAAAGCGTGTTTTATAGTTTACAGTAAGTCTGTTGCAGTCGAAACTGTAACTCGTGGTGACAGGGCGGCGGGATGGGACCGCTGGACACGCAGGCGCGCCTACACTAGTCTCTCATGCGTCTCCTACGTGTCATCTGACTTCACACCGGTCATTGGCTATTTGCAAGTTTCCAATGCACTGCGCCGCAGTCAAAGGACATCAAGCACTGCAGTTTTGCAATGCATTTGTTTATGTGAAAAAATGTATATCTCAAAATGTTACCAACATAATATTTACATTATAGCTTATATAAATATATTAAATTTGAAACGGTTTGTCTGAACGTAACAGGGAGTTATATGGTAATTTAAATGTATTATTCAATCCGGTCACTGCGGCACATACAGTAGCTTATTTCATTTTTGCCACCTCCCCACTCCCCCCTACAGAAAGCCGTAATATTTACCCCAGCCGTTTGTTCACAGCTGAAAGATTGGCGGAACTGTACATCACCGGAGCATGCAAAGTGGAAGTAGCACATGCAGCGGCCAGGGTAATTTTAGAGCATGTATATAATCACCGAAATGATCACGTCTAATAGGTCTTAATGGGGAGAGTACTGGTGTTTCACGCGTGACATTCACGGGAAACCATGCAAATCGGAGACGCATTCGTCAAAATAGATTTCATTTTAATTCACGATGCCATTTCCCAAAGTATACGTATACATATCGTCGGGCTGAAGCGTCTTTCTCGCCCCATAGCGCACAGTTCAACTAAAATGACCATTTTTACTCTATTTAGCCCTATAAATTAATTAAAAATGTGTATCCAACTAAAGCAAAAAGTCTAGTAGAAGTCTAATACATTCATGATCGGCATTTCACATTCTATGTTTGTTTTTTCAGCATCACAGCTTCTATGATAGAGGGACGAAGGGATCGAAGAGAAATGTGGACTCAGAGAATAGCATCTATAGGACAGAAAAAAGACAAAACCAAACCGCTGTATAGTTGCGATACAGTACGCATTGACTAACGCTTTTAAGTTCCAGTAACTGCAGCAGCGAAATGCATGTGTGTGTGACGCACATTGGCTCACAAGACCCATCCTGTGCGTGTGTTGTGTATGTATGTGCGTGTGTAACACAGAGAGGGAGAGAGATAGAAAGAGAAAGAAAGAAATGATTTAAACGGAGGGGCTGGCCTGACCAGACGTGGGGGGTTTTCTGCAGTGTCGGCTGATGACAAAAAGGAAAAAGCACACGTTCTGTAGAAAACTAGTGACTGGAACCGCTGGAAATTCTGAAGGTTTCCATTGTTCATTCGTTTTTTGTCTACATTCATCTGCAATATCCGTTTTATTTTAAACTTTCAAAGTTAAAGCTGCGCGTTTCACGGTTCATGACAGAATGCAAATTGTGAACTGACAGCGGACACCGTTTAGAAAAGAAATCAGGAGTTAAATCAAGCGCCAGGATATACAGACATCGCAGGAAATGTCAAAACAGTAGAGGCTCGTTAAGCGGTAAGATGAAAGATGCTTTGCTTTGGGGCATCATCCCGAGTGTATTCGCGATTTTGCTGAATAATTTACCAGCTGCTTGCACGCCTGAGTTGATATTGTTTGACATACTTTAACATTTTGAATGTCATGGGCTGAGAAATAGAACTAAATTAAATTAAATTAAAATTCGTATAGGGTACAAAATACGCAGTAGCTGGATTGAACTTGCTGTATATTTTCAGTTGGTATTCAGCACCGGCGCATAGCTTTCGTGGCTTGTATGAGGGTTGACATGTTAATTAATGAATACGAGAAGTACGTCGAGACTATATATTCATCAAAGTAAAATCAGTAATTTCTTCTGAAAGCCGAGTATACAGTTGCAATGCTCCATATTTTCACCGGCGTGCGCTGGGTAGGGAGAGCTCGAGATGGGACATCACTCCACTGCAGGGCATGCATGCAGTTACCCATTAAGGGCAGTCATGTTTTCCTTGAGTAAAAAAAAGAGCAAGGTCCCACATATAGGAGAGGTTGTACAGAGCTTAATTTGAAATAATGAAGCCAGCTTGAGGTGAGATTGCTTTGTGTTGGGCCACCAACACTGTGCCATCCCTTCTTCTGTAACAAGATATTTTAAAGCATTTTAAAAACCTTCTTTTATATGACTTGTCCCTCAGCTTGTCTGGGACCAAGGGATCCACGATTCCTAGGGCTGGACAAGAGGTTTTGTTTAAATTAATGCAGCATGAGTATTTTAGTCAGTTGCAACATGTGGCCCCCTGATATACAGCTCTGAGCAGACAGTTTATGACAGACTTCTCTCATTTCTGAAGGTGAAATGAGCATAATGGCTGACAGTGATGGTAATGTGTACTTGCACACATTACCTAAGAGTGTTAAAAGGCAAAGTCAGTGATCTGATGTGCATTTGGGGCCATGATGCAGCCTCAACATTCCACCTGGCTCCCACGTAAATACCCTGTAGAGCCTTCCCTGAGAGTCACCTGGCTCCCACGTAAATACCCTGTAGAGCTTTCCCTGAGAGTCACCTGGCTCCCACGTAAATACCCTGTAGAGCTTTCCCCGAGAGTCACCTGGCTCCCACGTAAATACCCCATTCAGCTTTCCCTGAGAGTCATCTGGCTCCCACGTAAATACCCTGTAGAGCTTTCCCCGAGAGTCACCTGGCTCCCACGTAAATACCCCATTCAGCTTTCCCTGAGAGTCACCTGGCTCCCACNGAGAGTCACCTGGCTCCCACGTAAATACCCCATTCAGCTTTCCCTGAGAGTCACCTGGCTCCCACATAAATACCCCGTAGAGCTTTCCCTGAGAGTCACCTGGCTCCCAAGTAAATACCCTATAGAGCTTTCCCTAAGAGTCACTTGGCTCCCACATAAATACCCTATTCAGCTTTCCCTGAGAGTCACTTGGTTCCCATTTAAATACCCCATTCAGCTTTCCCTGAGAGTCACCTGGCTCCCACGTAAATACCCCATTCAGCTTTCCCTGAGAGTCACCTGGCTCCCATGTAAATACCCCATTCAGCTTTCCCTGAGAGTCACCTGACTCCCATGAAAATACCCCATTCAGCTTTCTCAGAGAGTCACCTTGTTGCACAGCTAACACTCATTTTTCCACCAGGTACCAGACTCTTTTAGGCAAAGCTCCTCTGAATTCTTTGCCTTCATTATAGCTATATTTATTGCTGGAGAGACGCCAGTTAACTACTTTGATCAAGGAGAAAGCAGGGGGACTTGGGCTAGCTGTCCTTGGGCTGAGGTTGTGCTGCCCTGCCTGCTGCCCCTGAGCCCTCCTTTCTTGGCTGGTACTGTGTTACCATCTTGCCTGTGACTTCCTATTATCTTACTGCCCCCCATTGGACAGCACGGCTCCTTTGGCCATTTCCAAAGATGCTTCGGTACGATGACATCACCTTTCCTGGGCAGTGTCCTTACCAAGCACCATTAAGTGGTCTCTTCATGAAGAACAATACTGCGGTTAATGAGGTCCATAAGAGCGGTTAAATATGGAATGGAACAAATGGGGGGCCTGGGGGGGCACGAGTTAATGTGTAATGTATATCAGTAAATGTACTTGTATGTGTGCCTGACTGGTGTCTGTAGAGTGGAGCGAGTGTGGGCGAGAATAGCTTTGGGAAAGTGACATGTTTCATTGAATTTCTAATTCATTCCCCCTGATTGGATTTGTCTGGTATCTAACTGGAGGATGTCTCCATTTAGATGACATTCTTGTGTAGGGTCATTTAACTGAATAATACAAAGATGAGCTTTTCCCCCTAAAGTGAAAGTTATTCTTGGTGCCCTTTGTCTACATTGCATGCTGGGAAATATGTTAATTTTAAGACATTGCCTTAATATTTTGAGTGGCTTGAAGCATTTAGTTTGTGTCAAATATAAACTATGTGCTGACAGGGTTTTAGTTTTATGGCTGGCACTACTTTGCATAATATTTCAAAAGATTTAAAGCAAGTCTTATGTACATTAGAAATGGGAATATAATTATATACATTGCAGCCTTATATGGATTTGGATGTGTGGTGGTGAAGCATATAGAAAAATAGCATAATTTTATAAAACAGGTACTTTTGAGATACTGAGATAACATGTTTCATACCAACATTATAGTACAGAAACATCCTGCCTCATTGGATGATCAACACAATTAACATTACCCTATTATGAGGCAAGTGAAGGGTGTATATTTGATTGGGCAAGGTACAGCTGACTACAAAAACAAAGGCAACACTTCATTAACTTAGGCATACAAATAAGGTGCTTTCACTCATGGTTCCTCAGTTAATTGAACGATTTATATCCCGTAATGCACAGGGCTATGTGTGTATGATAAGTGCTAGGTACATCCAGCTAGCTGTTAATATTCAACCACCATCAACATAGCATGAAATAACAGTATTTCTTATGGAGGTATGGTGTCACATCCTTCCAGAATTGTACAACTGTATGGTCTATGCAAAGATACAATGAAGCTAGTCTTGTTACTTAAGGTAGCCCTGCAATTATGACACTTTACATTAGTGTTTCCTTTATTTAGGTGGTAACGTTTGTGTTTGTGTGTTGAGGCACTCCTGTTTTATCTGTTAACTTTAATAAATACCCTTCAAATCAGAATTTGTGTAGCTGCCTTTCAAGTGAGCAATCCATCCATCCATCCATCCATCCATCCATTTCATTCTGATTTAATTGAGGATGGGTGCCAAACATGCAAATAAAAATTTTCATTCAAATAACTTGCACAGTAACATGCAAGATGGTTATCAGAAATATGCTTGCATTACCTTCTGTTTATATTAGCACTGTACATTTGCACTGCAGAGTGGAGTTATTAAATAAGTAATCATGCAGGATTCTACATGAAGCAGGAGTAAAGGATGTATGTATGCTTTGCCAAATAGTGATGCATAGGCGAAATATGCTCAAAGGGAAATAGTTATGATGCTTTATAATATGATTACTAATTACTCATATTCAAGTTGTTTATAGGGACATTTTCGAAAAACAATGAAAAATGACAATGCAGAATTACTTTGCCTGAGAATCTTCTTTGATGTTTATGTTGTAAACATCACACTGAAAGTATTCCCACTGAATTGGCATCATTCTGCGGTTACGACATATTTTCCTGACTTGAAATATAACTGCACTGGCATAATTTTTTCTAGGTTTGTCCCACTTTGGATTTTTATTTTGTGTGACCACTTAGATTTGCAAGCAAAATGTTTTGGAACAAAGTCCTCACTTGCTTAGAATGTGCACTAAATGACAGCACTTTTAGCCTTCTGTAAAGTTCACATTAATGCAATTCTAACTAGGAAGGATTCGTTGTACCTGCCATGCATCTCAGTTGTCTGTGCATCAGCCTAAGTGAATATACTGTGTGTGCTTTTGCATCATTATTTTTATGATGAGGAAATATATTAAAAATATATATTTTTACTGGAATACCCCCATTACCCCCAAGATTATAGAAACTTTAGAATTATCAAAACATTTTGCATCTGTTTCTGAATTTGATTGACATGAGGCTGTGAATCATTATTGTGCTAAACTTAGTTACTGTGAAGTTTAAATAAATACAGAAATCAAACATGTATCTTTTTTAATTAGACAGATATAAGGTCTGGAGTGTATAAGAAAAGTATATGGAGGTAGGTAACATGCTATAATTTCACTCCTTGTTTGCTAAAACAATTGCTGTTATTTATTGACTTTTGGAGTGTTTTTTTGCCAAATAATGATACATTCAGAGTCAATATCAGGATATACATATATGACGCTGAGGCAACATGAAACCATACATGCTAAAAGAAATATTAGTGAAAAGTAATGGCTAGTTGCAAAATGTCTTTGGATTCAGCTTGCCTGTTTCTTGCAGAGGTTCCTGGAGCTCAGGAGGGATGGCCAAGCCAGGTAAAACTATGAGCTCCTCCATGGAGCTCACCTTCCAGCCACTGGCTAAGACCTTTGAAGATCTGACCCTTGACTCAGGCTACGGGGATATGGCGGGATCCTGCCGCTCTTCTGTGCTGTCCCTCTCGCCCTCACACCTGGACACTCCTCCACCGGGGGCGCTGTGGACCCTCCAGCAAGCAGTGGGAGCTCAGGGCTGTCCGCAGTGTGTGACGGAGCGAGCTGGAAGGCATGTGCTTAGAAGTAGGTCATGGGCCACTTTGCCCCCAGTGGAGTGGGTGCCATGGACGGAGAAAGATGTTGGCACAGTGATGCGCAAGAGCTTGCCCACTTGGGAGGTGTCACCAGGGTTGGTGCGCCAGGTTTCGTCCTACCTGGGGAGGGCGCTGCAGCGAGTGGCACTTGAAGCTCAACGGCTTAGCCTGCGCTGCGCAAAGTGCACGAAGCAGGAGGTGCAGGCCGCAGCCCGGCTGGTGCTCTCGTGGGCGCTGGCGGAAGTGTTTGTGAGTGCTGGGGCACGGGGACTTTCCCAGTACAACATGAGCGCCGAGGAACCCTGGAGCTGCAGTAAAAGTACCCTGTGCACACTCGACCTGTCAGTGGGGCGCACCTTCCGCTGGATGCTGGAGGCACGAGTGGCACCTGTGATCCACGAGCACGCTGCTATCTACATGACAGCAGGCATGCAGGCCCTGCTGGAGTTACTGTGTGCTAGGCTGGGCCCAGTACCTTCACACCGCCGGGGAATTCTGCCACAGCCTGATGTGGAGGACGAGCAGGAGCAGGCTCTCGAGAGGCTCCTGAATAGCGATGCTGAGCTCTGGGGAATTTTCCAGCCCTACCAACACCTGATCTGTGGCAGGAACGCCTATGGTGAGACTCCACCTCTACTTCCGCTTGTTTTGGTCTTGTGGCATGAACTACTCACTCTGAGATTTAAGTTATATTTGGCATGATACTTTATTCTTATTAATAATTGACAATAAATATCAGGCTAATATCTAAGTATCAAATACCAATTGAGATATTTATAAGCATCTCCTTGAGTGGCGGCCAAAATTGCATCAGAATGCCTGGCTAGCAGTTGGTTAGTATAAACCAGCTCTCCTGTCATGGTAACTGATCAGGTGGCAATTCAACAGGTCTTCAAAAAAAAACCAAGCCTTTTAAGAAGATGTGTGTAAGAGCAGCTTAATTGTGCATTGCTTCAGTCTGGAGGTTTTCTAATGAATATGGACCCTGCAGAATGAGATGATTATTTTCTCTGTGCATGAAAAACAAGCTTTGGGACAGCAGGGTACCTCAGCTGGAGACGTTGGCACCTCCATGACTGCAGGGCTGAATTAAGCCTCACTTCTGTTCATGTGGACTTTGTCATGTTGGCAAGTCCAGGTGAATATGTGACTCAGAATTCTGTATGTGTGAATACGATGCAATTATGTTGTGTTAACCACCTCATCTTATATGTTTCCTCACATCTGGATCCCTACAAATCTGACTGGATAAGAAGCTATGGGAAATGTGACTTTAGACACATTTCTGACCTTAAATTTGCACGTCTTGTGAGAGTCTGCTTTGTATAATAGAAGTTAGATATAGAGTCAGCAATAAGTAGCAGACCTGTTACATTTCTGACATATTTGTGAAAGATAAAAGCAAAGTATAGAGTCTGGTGGTCTCCATAAGCTATATGGTGATCCAGGAGAAATCCCTGTATCTGACATAATCATGTCAGAGGATGGAAGAGGTGACAACCTGTAAGCCTCTATCTTCAGGATGAGTGACAAGTCAGTCATGCTCAGTCAGATTATTTGGGGTGTAGTATAACTCATTTCAGCAGTACATTGACACATAGCACTTCACAGATTAAGTTAAATTTGGGCAGAAACCCACAGGAATATGGAGAAAATTAAGGACGGTGCTTAGCACTCCTAGAAAAGCATAGTCAATAAATGCATAAATTGCACATAATGAATGCAGTGCATTATATGTGAGAGTCTATTGATCTGATCTGATATTGACTAAGGCAGTGTTTCTCAGTCCCTAAGGACCAGACTGAGAAACACTGGACTAATGTATTTGTGGTCTTAGGTATGCTGGTTGCTAGACATTAGGCACTGACAAACAGCCAATGCAGGAGATAGATGGTGGGATTAAGCTGTTGCGTAGATATTTTTTTTTACCAGATATTGTTGCTTGCTGGTGGTCCATGTGGCCTGAAAAATGGCAAGCAGAAAATATATACAATATTGAGGGACCCATGAAATATTTCACTATACAGGCATTGGCTATTCAACTACTACTGCTAACTATGTATAGGTATTAGATGATAGCATGTAAATGCTCACGGTGAGCAGGTACATGTTCCATGAAGGGGATATGTGAGTAACTTTGGTGCCGATTTGGAGCATTAATGGTGAGTATAAACTACATACAAACCTAAAGTTCACAGGAAGCCAGCTCAAGAAGGTGAGAACTGGACTAAAATTATCATTATATTTCCATACCTGTACCTGCTGAATACTCATCCTTGAAAAATGCTTAGTAGCATAGCGTTACAAAAAAAGACTACAGATGCTTTGAAGAACAATTTGGCTTTGAAGAACTTTTCACCATTTTGCTGAGGCAGCCATTATGAATTTGGCTACGTTCCATTTGGCAGAACACAACTAGATTAATGAAGTCTGAAGATGTATGCCTGAGTTACTTAAAGCCTCCTAAAAATCTGTCTTATCAACATGGAGATTACTGTGTCATTCAAACACTAGATTATACTCTTTCTTGCTCTGTGGCTGATTTAAATTTCTAGCATAAATCTATTCCTGCACAGTATGGTTCACTTGTTATCAGGTTCCTGGGGGGTATTTGTGATTTTTTTTCTAAAACTTGCATCCGGATTTTGCTGTATATTTATATCTGTGTGATTTTTGCTAACTGCTTGGTTTCAGTACCTGTAATTTCCATGGTGCAGTTACAATAAAATTTATATGCATCTACTGTTGTATATCGTCTGGGCATAAAGGTAACCTCTTGTCAATTTGATTAAATTTGTTTTTATGATTGTGTTGCTCTTGACCAGAAACTTTTCTGCATTTGACATTAACCATTTTTAACTGGGTTACTCTGATATTTACATAATGGATAACGTGATGGGAGTTGTTTTTTGGCATTTGAACTAAGAATTGTTGTTAAAAGCGTCTTATTTTGGTGGAATGTTTTAGCTACCTTTGAAGAGATGTCAAATGAACCTGATTGAGTTCCTGTATTGGAACTAGAATTGTTTGATTTTGTTCCATTGTGCCGTACTTCTGGTTTTATATACATTAATGTGAGGTGGTTCTGAGAAATACAAGCTATTTCATTTTTGCTCGTTTGACAGCCACACACTGTTGATGCCCTCGGCTTATGTTCCATTCTGTAGCTGTCATAAATGGTGCCTTTTACATCCAAGCATCATGGGTTGTAAGAGAGCGTGTATTTTTCTGTCTCGCTTGTCTTTCACGAGTGCTGATCACCCCAACCTACTAGTGATTCCAAGTGCTGATAAGTGTGGAGTGTTCTTCAGAAGCTGGGAGTGTGGGTTTCCTGCAGTTCTGCCTGAGATTCCCACAGGGATGTTTCTCAAAGCGCTGTGTATGTTTTATCTGCATTGCCTTCTGATGTCCAACACAGATATGTTGGATAAGCAGGCAAGCATTTTATTTCTGTTTATTTACAGGTGGCTAAAAGAAAGCGGGTATGGATTCAGCTTCTCATTGTGTGGAGATCTGGTCGCTTTGCCTGTTTCTTTAGCTATTGTACTGACAAAGAACTTATATTACACTTATATCACTGCATCATAGTGCTCTGCGGAAGATATTTGATTTAATGTGGTATAAAGTGAGTTTGGCTTTTTATTTTCATTGGTTTTGAGCATGTTTGGGTCTCTAGGTTCCTAGGCTTTTGTGGCACATTATACCATAACAGGCCTTAAGATCCAGTTCATCTTTACATGGCTGACAGAATTCCACGTGTGTCATTAGTCTAATATTGGCAGGTAGCATCTTACCTATTAATAATATCTGTGTGCTAATCAGCCCTTGACCAGTAAAACCTGAATCAGGACAAAACCTGACTGCTGAAGCTGAATAGTCTGTCCAAGAGGACATGATGTGTGGTTCTAAAAATCGCATTTGTGTCCCATCCTTGTACACTTGTGTGGACTCCTGTAGAATTGTGTTGAGTTATGAATTCATGGTACCTACGATGGCTTTTTAATTATGAAAAGAAGCTTTACCATCATGGATTTGCAACGTGAAGACTGGGGCTTCCAGTCCCAGGGGGACATTGCCGTGCTGCCCTTCAGCAGGTACTTAACCTGAATATTTCCTGGAAAATAGTAAAAATAGAGTAAATGGGCAAAAACTGTAACAGGGCAGAGAAGAGCAAGCCAACCACCTTTAGGTGAAATGAAGCTGATTATTATACTGTCGTTTCTTGCCCAGTATAAGTGTGAACCTGGGAAACTGGCTTAGGAAACGATAAATAATAATATTTATAGTAAATATTATAATCCTGACAGAGGTTTCAATGCTTTCAAAAAGGCAGATCTAACTTAATTAAGGAATGTGTGTAAGAATCATTGCCAATATGGTGCTACTAAGTTGTAGTAAAAGTGCACTGCATATGATTCAGCAGTAGTGAACATTTTAGTTTTACAGTGTTATACTATTCCTAGGCTCTTATCATTGTTTGCACAATGTATCATTGGATACAAGTAGCTCAGTGCGCAGCACTGTTGCATTACATATGTATTCTCTGCCTGTGCCTCTGCACTGTATATGGGATGTTTTCATGTTCTTTCTGTATTATGCGGGTTTCCTCTGGCTACTCCTGTTTACTCCAGCAGGCGAAAGACATGCAGGTGATTTAACTGGCATCCAAAATTTGGTGCCCTGCAAATGACTTGCATCCCATCCAGGACATGCCTCTGCCTTGTGCTGTATATTGCCTATTATAGGTTCCAGTCCACCCTGCCTGGAATAAGTGGTTGAAGATGGAGCTTCATGCAGCACCAATTATTCATAGGAAATTCAATATTAAAACCCCAAATAAGTTGTGCAGGATTGTTAAAGATTAATTGTTAAAATGACCACACTGTAACCACAAAACCACTTAATTTTACTCCTATATCTATGTGGATACCAGATTACATGCCAATGAAATGAATAAATATTTGAGGTATTGGGCCTATTTGGGTCATAGCATCCCTACCCCAATAAGCACACATGCCGAATTATTCCTGTTAACATGGCAAACTGGCTCAAGTTACTAAGGTTAAAAAGTTCATGCCAGAAAAACGCAGATTTAATGGCATGTAATTGAAAGATTTGCTGCAACCCTAGAAGCTGTAGTGTTCCATTTGTGGGCAGGCCAGGTATTAACATAATGAAAGAATATATGACCATGGCTTAAATGTGATCTCCAACAGTGTAACTAGTTCACCCGAAATTCCTGATGGTATGCGCAGTATACCTTGCAGCTAGAGAATATCTCTAGAAAGTCACAGTAAATCCTGTTTTAGGTTTGACTGGGCTTGAGGATCAGGATTGCAATATTGCATTTATTTTTCTGTGGAGGTTTTGTTTTGTTATTTTGCCCTACATAGTTTCTTTAAGGAAATGAGGCTTTTGGTTTGAAGGCTGGGAATTGGAGAAGAGAATCTCCCTCCATCTGCACTTTATCACCTGCCTTAGATGGGTTATATTATCAAACTTAATTAAAATTACCCTGTAGTAAGGTACTGTAGATAAGATTTGTCAAAAACAAATGACAATAGTTGGCAAAGGCTTACATTTATACTATTAATTGGCTGTCAGAATATTTTGGAGCTGGGGGTCTTATATCCCTTAATAAAATGACAGCCAAAGGATGTTTTATAATGATGCAACACAAGTCAGCAAGTTGTCCTCAGGCAAAGTGCTGTTGGCTTTTTACTTTCACAAAGGAAATGAGGTCACATGTATGGAAATTCAGATGTGGGACATCTAGTAGGGATTTTTACAGCAATATTATATAAAAAAAACAAACTAAGAAAGCCACATGCTCTTCTGAATGCCAGTGTCCAAACAAACAAAACCTGCCAGTGTCCAAACAAACAAAACCTGCTAGTGTTCTAACAAACAAAACCTGCCGCTGTCCAAACAAAAACCTGTATCATTTTGTGTGCTACCAGCTTCTTTCCCTTTGCATGTATGCATGCAGTCTGTCCGTGGGCTTAATTATTGTATCAAGAATTATAATAAAACAGATATATGAAAGATATTGAGTAACTGTTGTATTGGTTACGAAGCATTATTTATTTGCTTGTGTTTTTGACATAGTTTGACTTTTGGGGTTAGAAGCCATAATTTAAAAAAAGTACAGATTTTAACAAGTGTGTTTTCAGCAGCGGCAGGATGCAACATTTTTTCTTTAGCGAAATTAACATTTCCGAACAGTGTCTTGCCAGCCTCATCTATCAGCCATGTTCACAGGTATGCAGTAAGTGCTGTTTGCAGTGCTGCATATTAGTACAGAGAGAAGGATGCAGGGCTGCAGAGGAGTCTGATGTGTCGGCAGTTTCTGACTGCGCAGGAGTCCTGCAGCCAAAGCTGCTTCAGCAGATGCTTGAATAATGCATCACACACAAAGCTTCTGGGGTCCAGTTTCATTCATAATCTCCTCACAGATCAGCCTTGTCATTTAGCTGAGAGTTTGGCTAAATAAACCGCAGACGTGCATGCCTGCATCGCTTTGTGCTGGTGCCCATGTCGGAACATGAAAACATGAATTTCTGTGCTGAAGAGTTTCTGCACTGAGGCAGTTTTCCTGAATTAATTACACTGCTGTTATTACTGCAGCATGAATGACATCATTTACAGATAATAGCCAGTTCCCTGGGATACATTTCTCTCTACATCATTGTGCATCGACTTGTATGATTTGTTGACTTGAATGACTTGTATTGTCATGTATTTTTGCCTGGGTCCCTACCACACCTAGTGTCCCTGCTTGTGCCCAACACTCAATACTAAAGCTTAGCCCTAAGTCAACAAACTGCATGCGAGGACTTAACAAAGTCACTGCAATCTGTTGCTGACCAAAGCACTTTCCCAGCCCAGATGGGACACTAGGTTGAAGGATTTTCCAGATCTAAGCTGGGTGTTTGATCTAAACAATGGTGGGGCTGTTTAGTTCAGAAAAACATGCGGGCTGACAATGTCGGGCGGGGATGGGGGGGTCTGACTCGTCTATGCCTAGGCAGTTAAAAAGAGGAAGAGAGAAAAGAAACCGATTTTATATTCCTCAGGAGCCTTTTTGGTTCTGTTTGATGCTGTACTCATTAGTTTTTTAATACTAGGATTCAAATCATGCATAATTCTTATAGCTCATGATTTTCGCAAACTGACTTCTCTTTCTTGCGGTTCCTCATCCTTTTATTGCATGAAGTCAGTCCACCATAATGAACATGCTACGTGAAAACAACTAAGTGGGTCACACTCCAGCTGCAGTTGAAAATCTGGTGTGTTTATACACAAGAAGGGCAGCAAGTGTGCTATATTGTGCCATGGCTCATAAACACAGAGCTTACAAATACTATAACATTTGCAGTATAATACTGTGTGTTTTTTTTTTATTAGATAAGTGCCTTATGGATCAGTAGTAACATCAGAACACATGCCCATGATCAATAATTGTCTTGCAGAAATTTAACACCTCTGTTATATAATGACACACTGTGTAAAGCATATGGTGCCTAGAAGGACTGAGTTTATGATGCACTACATGGTTATCAGTACAGGGATGCATTATTAACCTGGAATCTATCGCAGAAGGCACAGAGCTCAGTGCAGCGGGCACCTTGGCATGGCTGCCCATCCGTCTTCGGGCACACACACACACACACACGCACACACACACACACACACACACTGACACACATAGCCACATACTGTGGGTGATTTAAAGATGGTAGGTTACCTAGCTACATCTTCTGGACTGCAGGAGGAAACTGGAGTACCCAGAGAAAACCCCTGTTCTGGACCAGCAGCTAGATTGATGGATGGATACATTATCGTCAGAGTTATGGTCGATCTAGTCTCACTGCAGTAGTGGAGGCTTGTGTGACATAGCCCTTGTGTAGACAGGGACAACAAGGATGCATAGTTCAGTCAGTATACAGTACATCTGAACAGCTGCATTCCTGCATATCTGTGTGTATTCACAGGGCTCCCCACCCATCAGGTCGGAGGCTTTATGTGCTATATTTGACCTCATTCAGGTCATTTCCATAATTCAGTCATGTTCAAATCTAAAAATCTTGAGCCCACAGCAAATACAGAGTTGGAGTTAATGGATCAAAAATGTCATTTTTTTAATGAATCTATTAATACATTTTTCAGATTTTAACAGGAGCAGTTCGGGCTACAGCAGCAGGATCACTCAAAACTGTTGGCTGTCAGATATTAAATCCGCATCCTTATTCAACAGCATAAATCTGCATGTCTTGCTGATGAAAAAAACGATTTCATTTGATATGTAGGATAATTCTCTGCTGTGTTGGCAGGATCTCTCTGTCGGCTTTACAGAGTGTCTTCTCCTGCTGGGATTGTAGGATATGTTTCTGTTCTAGCTTTGTGAATTTTCTTCTACATTGTGCATTACATTTTAAAATGTATTTACATATGTTGAATTTGATATCTGTCATAGAAAACAAAATCAGTATGCAGTAGTCACCTTCATCCCATAATGATAATGGTTTTCCGTTTTGAGTTTAACAGCTGAACCACCCATGTATTGCAGGTAGGAACTGAAAAACAACATGGTAGCTGTAATATTCCCCTGCTTTGACACCCATTTCCCGGCCTGCATAGGTGTGCTTGTCCTGCCTGCCTGCCTGACTGTTTACGGACGGCGCTCACTGGCACGCGTGAGCCGCTCCCTGCGGATGTCGGAGCTGCAGGCCTTGGAGAGCAGCCTCCTCGCCACTGTGGTGGACAGCATCACTGAGCTGAGTGTGTACCTCTCACGGTGTCTGTGTGCCTTTGACCTTGTTTGTTTCTTTCTGTCTGTGAGTTGCTCCCTCTATCTCTGCCATATGATGGCAGTAATTCTGTGTGCCTGTGAAGGTGAAAAATGGTCTAAGTATAATTAAATGATGCATGAAATAAATGATGACAGAAAAATTAAATATGCATAACAACTGACACCCCCTGCCTCATAATTTTCACCTTCCTGAGTTTCCTTAATTTTATTCCTTCCTCGGCTTGGCTTCCTGCCCCTGTCCTCCATTACTTCATCTTCATTCCACCTTTCTACACAAATATCCCTCTGTGCTACTCAAATTTTCTGCGTCTAACTGGACCGCCATCTCTCGCTCTCCATCAGGTGCACTGGTCATGAACATCTCATACTATCTGCAGCGCCTCACAGCACTTTCTTCAGGCACTGCAGACAAGCCTCCCTTTCACCAGGGGGCGCTGTCCTGGGAGCCGGGGGCTCTGCACACACTGTTCTATTACACCCAGAGAGGGGTGCAGCCTCACATCTCTGACTCCCATGGGATACAGTTGACCAGAGAAAGGTGAGAGATTGGCACAGTCACCTTCATGCTTCACTCTTACATTTTAAATATAGCTCACCAGTAGATAAGGCTGTATATTATTATTTCCTATGCTAGTTAATCCAGATCAATATTAAATCTTAATGTAAGATTAAACAGATAGAACAGAGTGCATGATTCACTTTTATTGGGGATGGTGGCATATGTGTCATAACAGAAATATTGCCGTACCTACAGGTTCCTGGCATTTTTTATCCTGGTTTATATTGTCTGTGAGGTAATGATTTCTGTAAGACTGATATTTGACTACCAACAGGAACCCCTGATATATGCCAAAAGGAGAAATTTGGAGGTATAAAATATAAGTATAGATAACTCCAAAGCCTTGAGTAAAATAAAATTATTCATAATAATCATAGTACTAACCAACTATTGTTCTCAAATCTACTGCCATTGTTCAGTTGGATTGTGGTTAGCAGGGAAGGAGAAGCTCACAATAGATGGGCCAGTTTGCAGGCTGAGGTGTGACATGAGCTTGCATTCACATCTTGGGCTCACACAGAGGTTTAGAGGAGTAGGATCCCCAAGGCCAACCTCAGAAGGTGCAAAGATATGCAAATGTTTTTATATATAGATTGCTATATATGACAGGGGTCATATGAAATGTGCTGGAGTCATATGGTAGATGCTGATTGCTATCCATTAATGTAGGGGGGTGTTTATAATCTTTTCCTCCTTTTCTTTCTGATTCCCACCAGCTACAGTTGACCATTACCAGTCCCTTATATCCACAGCCGGCCAACTAGAAGTCCCTGCGTTTTTTTTTTTAAAAAGATCTTTGTCATGTCCAGGGAATTATGTGTCCGTGTGGCCATAATCATAAACGTGTAGTTTTACAAGCATTGTTGTCCAATCATAGGCCCCTTCTACTTCAGGGCTCTCAGCTAACTGAGATATGATTTGCTGGCAGGCCGGAGGCGTGGCTGCCGCCTCTTTCTGAGTGGCTTAGGGTGTGTGTGGCCCTGGCGGAGCACCGGCATAGCCTGACGGTGGACAGCGGGGACGTCCAGCAGGCTGCCAGGCTGCTGCTCCCAGGCGTGGATGTAGAGCCCCGCCCACTGAGGTAAAAAGCACACGTCCTCAGGCTGAAACCTCAGTAATTCAGGTGGAAACCATTCCCAGTGAGTGAACCATGGATTTTCCCAAAAGCATATATCCAAGTCAAGATGTCTGCTTTGTAGAAGACCTTAGACAATGTAGTTCTGAAGGGACCATAGAGAACCAGAGCAGAAAGGACAGCAAGCGGTTAGACTGATAAAATCTCACACATATAATTATTAAAATTATCAGCACAGGTCTTGTCCTTAGTTTGTGAACATCTGACTCTTTTATAAACAATTTTACATTTCAGCAAGATTTGGTTTATGAAAAAAGTTTAGCATTAGGATTAATACTCAGAAGCTGGTTTATTATATAAATAGACAATTTTAATATTTTCCTCATGACAATTTTAAAATCCTGTGCTGAAGATTATTCCCGATGTGATGCTTCATTTCAAGGCAATTAGGACCAGAAAGTTCACTGATATTATAGTGTCAGTCTCAAACATATGCCCCCACTGGACAAGTGGCGCATTACCACACAAAGAGTAACTCAGGGTCCCACTCTGTCTGTTACATAGGTTACTATTGCACACCACAGTAAAACACGTTTATTACTGTTTTTTACTGATGATGTGTAGCAATGGGTGTCATTAACAAATTATTGTATCATGACTTGAGTCCTTCTTCCTCTTTTTTCTCTCTTTCCCCTTTTCCCCTTCCTATCCCATCCTCTCTCTCCTTGTACCTCTCCCTGCCACCTCTTCCCTTCCCTGTCCCATCTATCCTCTCTCTCGCTCCTCCGCCTTTCTCCTCTCTATCCTCGCCTGGCTTTCTGCTTCAGGGTGGAATGCTGTCTCTACGCCTCCAAGCTTCTGGAAGCTTCCGTGGTGAAGCGCGCGCTGTGCTGGAACTTGGCGTTCCGTATGCTGAGCTGCGGCAGGACAGACCTTGTGGATGCAGCCGCGGCCCTGTTGGGGCCCGATGGTATCAACACCCTCGATCAGCAGGTATTGAGAGTCAAGTCTTTCAAACATAGTAGTGCTGATGGCTAAACCAGGTGCAATAAAGCCATTTCAGAAGCATTTGGTGGAGACTAAAATGGGTAGAGTAGAAACCTAACAGGCTTAAGTGAAAGTATGATTAGAGGTTGGTGTGTGGCTCAGAAGGTTAGTCGTCATCAGCAGGGTTGGAGCATGTTAGCTGACCCTGTGCTATGACACCCTCCCTCACCAAACTTTCTGTCACCGCTCTGTGTGTCTTGTGGAGCACAAGATGGGGTAGATGAAAAAGCAATGTCCCCCAGGGAATCAATGAAGTATCGCTGTTCTATTCAAACTAGCTAAAGGAAAGTTGTCCTCTTGTTGAGGATTTGAGCATAAACCTGATGACCTTTCCTGAGCACCAAGACCAGACATTTATATATGATGGCATGCATAATATTTAATGCATCCCAGTACTTCAGACTTCATAAGCTCTGGTTTATTGTACAGTTTTGATCTAACAGCTGACTGATTTTCTGTTTAAAGAATATTAATGGTAACTTTCCTCCTGTCTGTGTCTGTCTCCATGTTGGCACTGCATTTAGGACTTGTAAGTGAGGGGGAGGGGTGGGTTTTCTTTAGAGAGGGAGAGGGCAGGGTGCGGTCCAGGGAGAGGGGTGGGGAGGGTGTGGTACAGGGAGGGGGGCAGGGTGCATCCCATCCTGGGTTATTCCCTGCCTTGCACCCATAGCCTCTGGTATAGATGCCAGACACCCCCCCCCCCCCGGTGACCCTGAATAGGATAAGCGGTTACAGAAAATGGAAAGATGGATGGATGGATGGATGGATGGATGGATGGAGTATTAATGCCATTGTGAATCTCTTGTAAAACAAATCGTTTCAATGTAACTCTTTATTTTATGATAAAAGACCTGAGCTGTCAGTGTAACAGTGTTGATTTGTCAGCCTAATAGCATTTATTGATTTGTTAGTATAAACTAGTTAAGGTGTCCTTGTAGCAGTGTTGATTTTTCAGTGTAAGTGTTGATTTCTAAGTATGATGGATCTGAAGTAGCCCAGATTCTTGTCGCTCCCCTGCAAAAACCTGACAACCTCGCCCCACTCACTTTACCCCTGGTTGACAGTATGTGTGTGTTCCCAGGGTCTGTCTCCACTCATGTATTCCTGCACTTGTGGAGATGAGGCCATGGTCCAGGTGCTGCTCGATTCTGGCGCCTCCATTGACTTGCAGGTGAGCCAGAGTGTCTGCGAGCAGGTGCTGCTGCTGCTGCTGCTGATCAGAATAAAAGGTAGCATGGTGCTTTTCATCCTCCTCATGGCAAAGGGCTGCATGATCAGCAAAGTATGAGAGCACAGAACAGGTGGAGAATGAATAGAGCGTCGAGAAAACCACAGTGGCTCGTATGGCAAAAGGCAAAATTCACTGCAAAGTGAACTGGCCTTACACTGCTGAAAGTGATGAGCAGATTGCAAATTATCAGCACCCTATCAGTCACTCTGTATAAGTGGGTAGAGGTGTACTTACATCTTGATCTGTCACAGTGCCCTTAGTGGGAAACATTTAAGGAGTTAGATCAGCAATTAGATTATATAATTGTATTATATATCATTTCAGTTGCTGAAACCCGGGTTAAAGGGCTGGAATGTGGGCCTTTCCATCACAGTGCCTCTTTGTACTGTTGTGAGATATTATGGTTTATTTCTGCAGTTTAATTTAACTTGCATTAAAAATATTAGCTTAGTATTAGTTTCCCTTGAGAGATCAGTGTCTCCTCATAGATTTGCACTGGTTAACTTTGTACTGGCTCTTGGAGCATCTTGTTCATCTAACTGTTTGCCAGGTCCCAGGTTCAGGCCAGCACGCACCCTCAGCTCACCCTGAAACCCGCTACTGGACAGCCCTCACGTTTGCCGTCGCCTTCGGACACACCTCTGTAGCCCAGGTGCTCTGATCTTGAATCAACCCTGTCTACACCCTACGATAGGGCTGGGCGATATATCGAATTTTTAAGATATACTGAAAGGAACTGAACTGAACTGAAAACCTGTGCCGTTTCCCGTCAGGTCAGCGTTCAGCTGAGCAGAATTTTGTTACTTAATTTTTACGTATGAAAACATATGGAAATTAAACCACCATTTATTGAAATACCTGCTGCATGTATAAACTCACACTTCATGCTGATGCAGTGTTATTTACAAATATAATGTAATGTTCATTTTGGGTTTAAGGCCTCAAGGTGCTTCTAGTATTTAAATGCAATACATAATTTCAACATAGGTGATTTTTTTAAAAGGAAAGTGTAAGTTCAAGTATAAAGTGCATGTTCTAGTTTCATTTAGGTGTGTTCACAGTCATCTGGTTAAAGGGAATATCTGCTGTGCTGGTTATCTGAAGTTCAAGATGGTTCTGACAGCCCTGTGTTCCTGCAGCTCCTTTTGGACCGTGGGGCCGATCCTAATGGCTGCATTGGAGATGAGGGAACTGCAGAAACACCTCTGCATCTTGCCGCAGCAGCAGGTCAGGTCTGCTCTGGGCCTACTGTGAGGTCAGGGTCTCATTAACCTGGAAGTCTTGAGTGAGGTCCAGTCACGTCCCCTACAGCAGCAGAATAATCCATCATATGTAACATATCAAAAAATTTTAAGTGGAAGTTGCTTTGGATGAAACCTTCAGTTAAGAACCTAATGTGCTTACAGATGTTCTCAGGGGCGCCCCCTGCATTCCTCTGAAGAATCTGCAATATCTCTTGCCCACTCAGGACGTTTTCCACTCGTCTCTCTGCTGCTGGAAAAAGGCGCTGATCCACTGTGTGGGACCTCCTGTACTGTAGGGGGCGGTGCCTCTCTACGGGGGACAACTAGCGCTTTCTCCCTGGCAGCAGCACATGGCCATCGGTGAGGGCAAGACACACCAGCCTACAACCACAGACACTAACACACTACTGTCAGAACCTGAGGACACATACCCACAGCCACATACTCCTTCTAGCACCAAACACTCATGAACACATGTATGTGTGCACTCACTCCTAGTGTGTGCAGGTGTACTCTTGCATGTGTGAGTATGATTAGACAGTGAATCACTGTGCATGTCGTTGCAGGGTGGTCCTGTGGACCCTGCTGTCCACCATCAACAGTGACATAGTGTCCCTGGAGGACATGCTGGAAGAAGGCTTAGTGTCACAAAACACCAGGAGGCCCCGGTCTGGAAGAAGCAAGCGCATTAGGCAGCGTGCCCTACAGGGGGCACTCTACCATAGTGCTGAGCATGGATTCCTGGACATTGCTATGCAGCTTAGACAACAAGGTAGTGCTGTCTTACATCTTCTGGGTTTCCAGAACAAGTTTAAATCATTCAAGTCTCTTATAGGTAATGAGAAACATGATTCATATAATTTAATTTCATATATGTTTATTTTTATATTAACAGACATTTAAATAACGTATTGACTTTCAATTGGAATCACAATTAAAACCATCCATCTATCCCTCCATCATGTGCCGCTTATCCGGGGTGGGGTCGCAGGGGCAGCAGTCTATGCAGGGATGCCCAGACCTCCCTCTCACCAGCCACCTCCTCCAGGGGAAAGATTTAATCTCTAGCATGTCCTGGGTCCCCGGGGCCTCCTCCCAGTTACGCCATGCCCAAAACACCTCCCCAGGGAGGCGTCCAGGAGGCATCCTAGATAGATAGAACCACCTCATCTAGCTCCTTTCGATGCAGAGGAGCAGCAGCCCTACTTTGAGCTCCTCCCAAAGTCCGAGCTCCTCACCCTGTCTCTAAGGCTGAGCCCAGATCCTATGGCGGAAACTCATTTTGTCCGCTTTTATTCACAATCTCATTCTTTCAGTCACTACCCAGAGCTCATGACCATAGGTGAGGGTAGTAACGTAGATTACTATTAAATGTAAAGCTTTATTTTGATGGCAGAGTATAGAATGCAGAATTAACTGTTTCATTTCAAGGTTAGTATTTGGCAGCCTATTGGCTAACCTATAGAGCCCAAAGCTATATCCTTTCTTGACTTCATAACCTCTGTGTTGTCAGTGCATCATGTCTTGAGTACATCCTGTCCATGGGTTAAGCATGTATATCACTGACTGTCCCTTCACCTTTATGTTTCCAGTCATGTGTGTGTGAATCTTGACTTTCACCCTGATCATGTTAATCCCCTGACAGAGAACGTGCCCTGGACTCTACATCCCTGGCTCCAGTGCTTAAGTACCTCCTTCTCCCAGCAGTGCTGGGAAGTGATGCACAGTCTCCTGGGAGATTTCCCCACTCGACAGGATATGTACAGCAAAGAGCTGGTGCATGAGGGACTGCCACTCCTCTTCAAAATCCTCAAGACCTGCCAGGTGTGACCTTACCTCAAATTAAATGGCACATACTGTTTCTCATCGTCGAAGAAGCTACTCTGTAACATCAAAGACAACCTCAGCAGCCGGCAAGCAGCCTTTTGATTGTGTTACCTGGCTGCTGTGCATTGCTATTTCTGATGTTGTCTTCTCTGTTTCAAGAGCGAATCTACAGTGCATCAGCTGGCTGCCATCTTGTCTGGTTGCTACGGTCCATACCCCGTTCCCCCAGTCCACGAGGATGTAGCAAAACCTCACACAACTCTAGGTATGCTAAAAACACACAGGTAACCGACAGATGTCATTGGATGTACCTAAGATACCAACCACAACCTTCATAGATTCAGTAAATACACCTTAAGAAAACACTCGGACAAACAGGACATCTCACAGATCACAGTTACAAAGATCATAGATACCACAGATGCATCAAAAACATCCTTGGCATACTTCACATACATGCATCCATCCATTTTATACCTGCTTGTCCTCTTCAGTGGCTCTGGAGCCTGTCCCAGAATATACATATAGTGCATGTGTGTGTGTGTGTGTTATATATATATATATATATATATATATATATATATATATATGTGTGTGTATATGCACATACACACACACACATACAGCCACAGAAAAAATTAAGAGACCACTTCACATTTTTTGTTTTTGTTTCACTAATTTCTTGTCACAGTTGTGTACCGGGAAAGTAGCACAGACGCCGTGACGTTAGGTAAACGGGGATTTATTAGTAGGAAATAACCAAGAATACTGAACAACACGCAAGACCGACGTCAATGACCAGTAAGACTGACTTGGAAGTAGGCTTGTCACGATACTGAAATTTCAAATTCGAAACCGATACTAAGGATGGTGCTCGATACTATTTTCGATACTACAGGGGGAGAAAAAACAAACACAGGAACTTTTTTTTTTTTTTTAAATAAAGTCAGAACACCAAAAAAATTAAAAAAGACAAACAATACAATGAAAAAATAAACCTAATAAATAGAAAAGGCCATTAACATTGTAAAATAAAATATTTTTAACAGTGTAGACCGGGATCTGGTCCATACAAATGTACTTGGCAACAGCCCTGTTGAGCTTTTGTGCCTTTGGCGATTTGGCACTGTATTTACGCTGTTGTTCAAACAGTGCTGGTAGGGTGGGTTGTGTTTGTGGCTGTTTAGGTCTGGCTGCTCGTCCCCCTCTCTCAGCCTTAGCCTGGGATTATAAGATATACATGATGATTGTCAGATACGAACAACGGAGTTTTATAGGTTTGGCACCATGGCCGAATGAACGAATAAAGGAAAGAAATGTATTTTTATGTTTTTGAGTCAAACTAAAAAAAGCACTCCTCGCTTCGCATGGCGTAGCAGTGAAAATATATGCGCGTTGTGCAATTAGATAATTGTAAAACGCGGAGAGAGAAGCGAAGACACAGCCATTCTTATAGTTAACTTCAACAGTATTGCTTGACAGTGGCACTTAAAATATTCATATTTTCATATTCATATTCATATGTTTGAACAACAACTTTCCTCTCGAAACTCCGTGTATAATTCGGAGTGATGGCCTTTTAAATGCTTCCAGGTAGCCGTTGTCGGGGGAGGGGTTGTCTGCTGCAATGCCTGTTGAAAATTGTTGTAGTCTGCCGGTGATTTCCGTGAACTTGCAGATGCAAAACTGGCATTTAAGTATCGATACCAGCGCTAATTGATATCGAACTCGATACTAAATTTTAGTATCGATTAGTATCTGAGAATTGTTTTTTTTGACAACATTACTTGGAAGCACTTAAAACACAAGACTAATTAACAAAAATTAGACACAGCTGGGAACACTGGGATTCCACATGAGGTAAATGAGGGGATGTGGCACACGGGAGGATCGGATGAGCAAGGCATGACAGAATCCCCCACCCAAACCACGCACACCGGGCGTGCCTAAGCGGAGCGAATGGACGAGACCGGGGACACGAAGGCATCTAGAAAAACAAAGCAAGAACATTAACGGGGCACAGGGAACAGCATGGACACATAGAACAGACACAAGGGCAACAACCAGGACAACAACTGACAAACCACGGGGAACGCAGACAGACACAAGGGCACCAAAGACGGGAACAACAAAGGGACCACACCAGGGGACAGAAAACCAATAGGAGGAACAAAGGGACCAGGAGGGAACAATGGCGGAACAGAAGGATGGGGAGGAAACACAGGGGGCACAAAACCAGGAGGCAAGGAGGCAAAGGGTGGAGGGCACCAGGGAGCCGGAGGGAACCCCGGCAGGCAGAAGGCAGGAGCCACAGGGGCCACTGGTGACCGTGAGGCCAGAGCCAGAGGGACCCTCGGTGATCGCGAGGCAGGAGCCAGAGGGGACACTGAAGGGGGCGAGGCGGAAGGCAGAGAGACTGCAGGAGGGGGGAGGAGAATGGCAGTCCACAGTCCAGCGCGAGTTGCTTCATCATAGCCTCCTCAACTCCGCCTCTTAGCCGGGTCAGGTGCCACACCTCTTTGGCTAAGTGTGGGTCGCTAGACGGGGAGATCTCCCTCAACAAGTCCCTAGACCAAGCAGGAAGGGCGCGAGCTGTGGGGACTTCCTGGACTTCAGGCTGCTGGAGCCAGTAACATACTTCGTCCACTAAACCGAGGTATTCCTCCTCCATAAGGCGAGGCGTCATCTTTTGTGGTCCGGTCATTCCGTCACGGTTGCATACCGGTGAAGCAGCACAGATGTCGTGAGGTCGTGTAAACAGGGATTTATTGGGAGGAAGTAACAAAAAACACTGAACAACACGCAAACTGACCGGAAAGCAGTAAGACTGACTTGGAAGCACACAAGGTAAATGAGGGGGCGTGACACACGGGAGGATTGGACGAGCAGGGCAATGCATTTTTCCGATCATGGGTGTGTGTCTGTGAATTATATATGTACAGTGGTACCTCAGTTCTCGAACTCATTAGAACTCAAATTTCTTAAAAGTCGAACAAACCAGTTAGAAAAAAAATTACCTAGAGCTCGATCTGAATCTCAGAAGTCAAACCGTGAGAAATGAGTCACGCCGCCTGTCTCTCAGCGGAAACATAGGGTAACGCTTCAGTCTCAGCCTCGCATTCGCTGTGACAGCATTCTGCATGTTTACACTAGCTGAATACATATATTTAGACAGTAAAAATACATTTAGACAATGATAGACAGTAACAGTAATTATTATATAATAAAATACATTTAAAAATAAAGATTTCTTATTCATTATTTTAATATTAATAATAAACCATTAATACATTTAATTATAATAATATTATCATGCCAAGCGAGGACGGAATTCAATTCTTTTATTGTCATGTGTACAAGTACGAGTACCGTGTACAATGAAATGCTTGCTTGCATGTGCTCCTGCAGACAGTGAACATATACAACAAGACGGTTAGACAACAGGATGACAAGTGAATGAATGATAAAGTGAATTATAAATCAGTGTTATAAATAAGTATTATAAATAAGTGAATAAATAAGAACAGACAACGGAACGGAGACAAAGGCGCAGACGTCTGGGTATCGGGGAATACGGGTTTAATTACAGGTAAGGCAGGCAAAACGCAGATGGACAATACAATGACTGGACTGGGGAAACAAACTGAAACGCGGACGAAATACAGAGGACTAATGACAACAACCAGAAACAGCTGATCACACGGGGATTCCACACGGGGTTAACGAGGGGGCGTGGCACACGGAAGGAGCGGCCGATCATGGCAGGACACATTGTTTTTTTTTTTACTTTACACACTGTTTGGATACATTTATTTTCTTACTTTACAAATTACTGTTTTGATAAATGTGCTTAGATGTGTTTAGTACAGTATATGCTTTTCTTGTTTTATCCGGTTCGTTTTGTGTTTAAATGCTAAAAAAAAAAACATATTTAGGTGTAATTTTTTGTGGCCGGGAACCAATTAATTGGTTTTTCATTATTTCTTATGGCGAAAATTAGATCAGAACTCGAACTTTTTAGGATTCGATCCGGAGTTCTGAACGGATTAAGTTCGAGTTCTGAGGCACCACTGTATATGCAAACTGCAGCCTGGTTCTTCTCTGTTTCTCATTGATGAACAGCTTCTTCCTTGCTTTATAGGACTTCAGTCCTGCTTCTAGCAGCCTGATATGAACTGTCTAAGCAGTGCACTTCACACCTGCACTTAATGTTTCTCATTCCTTTTGAAGGTCCACTTGATGTCATCCTATGATTCATGAGAAACTGTCAGATAAGTTAACGGTCATCTCTGGCATTAGAAAGTCACTTCCGCCCTCTACCTGGCTGGTTTCTGGTCTGTCTTAGAAATTGTGAACCTGGAAGAAACCTGCCAGCGCAACCTTCTGCCAGCAGAATCATGATTAAGCCGGGAATTAAAAATGTAGATTTGTTTAAAAATATAGAGTGGTCTGAATTTTTTTTACAGCTGTGTGTGTGTGTGTGTGTATATATATATATCACAATATTTCAATTTCATATTCCTATTGTCCTCAGACCCTGCCTTCCTGAATAACAAGGAGATGTGTGACATCACCTTCTTGGTGGAGGGCGAGCTGTTCTACGGACACAAGGACCTAGTGTCTTCTGCATCTCCGGGGTTAGAGAGCTCCCCTGATTGGAGAGATAATCTCCCTACTGTGGGGTGACAGCATGTGGTTGCAATACCCCTGACCATCCTTCACCTCCAAACTCATTCTTTATGAAATTTTAGTGATCATTAATGCAATCTGTTATAATTAATTTTTGACTCCTACTGTTTGTTGAACTATGGCTGGTGGTCTATCTGAAAATGGACAACTTCTTGTAAGCTGCAAACACCAACGGCTAACAGCATCAGCAAAGCAGAAGCATGTGGGCTTTTCTGAATCAACATGCCTTTGTGCTGCAGGCTTGAGAAGCTGATCTGTGAAGCATCGGCATGGAGCTCTGTCCCAGTGGAGGTTCCTGACATCAAATACAAGACCTTCCAGGTGATCCAGCCATTCCGCATGTGACCTGGGGCTGATGTGTGCATAGCAGCCAACTTACACACCTTTACTATAATTTATAATGTGTTATCCAGCAGAACATTCCCTTGTATCCTGTAACTTGCATCTGACTGCAAACCTTGCCCTAAAACGATCACACAGCTTTGGGCAATGCAGGAAAAAGGAATGTCAGGTGAAACAGGGCTCCAGTGAAAGAGCTTTTGAGTCAGTATTTACAGTGCATTGTGGGTCTTTTCCTGACAGCTGGTGATGCAGTACATATACAGCGGGGCAGCTGAAGGCTTCCATATAGGCAAGCAGGAGGCCTTGGAGGTATGGGACCTGTAGACATCATTATATAACAAACACTTTGTTGTATATACTGCTGTAGCTATTTTTGATGGTTAAATATCTTGCTGTAGGCTACAAGCACAGATACAGCTTTAGCTATAAGTTAAAGTGATGGCTATAGATATTTATGTAGACATCACTGCAGACTAAGAATGTGGTTTAGATTTTGCAGAAGACATAACTGTAGTCATTGCCATGGGCTAAAGACATTGACGTCTGCTAAGGGCAACCCCTGCAAACACTGCCTCTTATACTATTCTGGGCCAAAGACAGGAGACAGCACTGAAGGTGATACTTCCCACTCTGAAGAGAACCATGTGGAGACAGGGATGGCCAAGGTCACGTCACTGGGAAGAGGATTTCCCATGTCAGGGTTTATAAGGGCTCAGGTGCAAGGCAAACATTAGAGGGGAGACACAAAAAACAAAACTGAGAAAAAGAAAATTAAATTTTGGTGTGATGTTGAAACTCCAGTATAAGCAGTCTCCAAGTTACAAATGAGTTCCCTTCCCTAAGTCTGTCATTAAGTTGAATTTGTAGGTAAGTCAGAAAAATGATTAAACCGTACATGATAATAATAATAAAAATTACGATACAGTAATAATAAAAGTAGCTACATGCAGTACTGTACCGTACCTCAAGCCGGCGAACCACTGAAGCCTTGCAGTGTTTTCATGAGCGTTACGAAGTGGTGTGTGCGTTTGTTATTACAAATCGTCTTTTACACAAATTTTTAAGATAATGGACTTTCTGGCAGTCCATTCATAAGGGACTACCTAAATAAACTCCACACAGACAGAGCAGAGGCACGATTTGCCCTAAACCGTACATCATTATGCTATTCTCACTATTGTTATAGATGTCAGTTTGCTTTGATATCACTGCAGACGTTATTGTTACAAAGAGTAATAGATTTACTCTAGATATCCATTATTGACTTTACAGATCATATCATTATAGATGTATCTAAAAGCATTGTTATATGTGTAGTCGTTTCTAAAGGCATTGCTGGATGTGTAATTCTATAGGAGCACCATGTGGTGTTTCAGGGACAGTGCTTAATGGCTAGTGTGGAGCTGCTAATATGGTAGCAAATTGGATGACAGTTTAAAACCATTACACAGTATAGTTAGCAATAGTTTTATAGCTGGTCATGGCAAATTATAAGAGGTTAAATCAAGTAATAATTTAATGTTTGCAGATACATATGAAATGTGTTATGTGCCCGGAAGCTTGTTGAATGAATGCAGAGTCTGCAGTTCTTTATTGATGGATTCATTGTTGGGGTCTCCGCATGCCTGTTTCCATTAGGTGCTGCATGCTGCTCACGTCTTTGGCATTACTGGCCTGAAGCGGCACTGTGAGCTGCTGTGCTCTAAGAACATCTCCCCGTCTGATGCAGCGAATGTCTACCGGCAGGCTAAGGTGGGGAAGCCATGCCTGCGTTTTTATGTGCCTGATCCTTTCCTACACTTTCTGCATATTACGCATATTACCCCCCTACCTGGTTTGGACATATTGTTTCTAATACATTTTCCAGCTTTTCCACGCTCATTTTTAAAATGAATTGCCTTTCACGTTAAACTTCTACATAATCACTGAGTTTAATGTGTAAGTATGATGATGGCGTCGGATGGCACATGGAGTGCTTTTCTAGCCAGTCACATTTTGAATGTACAGCAGGTACAGTATAAATATAAATTGAATCACCATGAAGGAGTGAAGTGGAAAGCCTCAATCCAGCTGTCCCCCACTTCTGCAGGTGGACCAGGCCACTGAACTGAAAACTTTCTGTGAAGGCTACTTTCTGAAGAACATGGTGACCCTGCTGGATGTCAGCTCCTTCCGCCGCCTCCTATTGGCTAGCGAGGACAAAGACAGCCTGGGAAAGGCCCTGCTGCACACTCTCACTGCCCGCATGCAGGCTCTCAACCAGCCAACTACCAAGGAGACCATGGTGTAGGGCGCCACCTGCTGCCTTTAGAATAGCATCGCATGGGGTAGAATAAAAAGCTTTTCTACTTCTGCCAGCTGGGCACATGACTCAGCATGCAGGGTTTGATCCAAGGATTTATTGATCATTAAACTTCATTAAGTCAGCGACCAAAAGAAAGTGGACCAGTTAAAGGTATCAATTTGTCAACCACTGATCGTAAAAATTGTCAGTTTTTTGCTAATATTTGCAATTTTACAAAGTGTTTTTGCTCTTAATATGAAAGCAGCTTTAATGCAAAGCAAAATATAAAGATCCAGCTTTCTGAGTACCTTAACTTACCATCCAGGTTGTTGGGAGGTGCCTGTCTGGTTTCCATGGAGACCTTGGCCGCAAAAACGCATTTTTGTGGCAAAGAATCAAACATCTGAATGAGAGCTGAATGACATTCTCCATTTGAGGGAGGGATTAGTTGTCAAAAGCCTCCTCTAGAGGGCACAGTTTTATACAGTGCAGGACAAAAGTCTGGACACACCTGAAAATCATTTGCTTTTCAACAAGATAGTGACATTAAGCACACCATTTGTTATGCATGGTTATGTAGTATTATTATTATTATCTTGTGAAGGAGTGCTGTAACAGATGACCTGGCCCCCACAATCCCCCCACCTAAACCCTACAGAGCTGCTTTGTGATGACTTGGATCTAAGAGTAAGAGAACCAACTTTCAAGACTGTAGGAGAAGCATTCCAGGTGGCTACATCTGGATGCAGCTTGAAAGAATGCCAAGGGTCTGAAATGCTGTCATAGAAGCAAAAACCGGATATGTTGAAGAGTCCAAAATCTTTAAAAAAAAAATTTAAGATGTTGAACACTGTTTTGGTGATAGCAATAATTATTAATATTACTTCCTTGCCTTGTGGCCTTTTACTACAAGGTGAATAACAAATGCATTAAAAACTGGTGTGTCCAGACTTTTGACTGTTTATGAAACAGAATTCCCACTCAGACTTGCAGGGACAGTATTTTGTCTTCCCTTCATCCACCTGCACCAACTGTATGGTGGGATTTTCGCGGTGTCACGACACACCAGGTTTTACCTTGAGGGTCCATGGTGAAAACATGACACAGGTATAGGTACAGGGCCTTCCGTTAAGTCTCCTGGCAAGCTTTTAATGCAGTGTCATGGTGAAGCATTCATGGTGAAGCTTCATGGTGAAGCACTGCTCCATCACTGCCCTGGCTTATCACACTGCCTCCCAGGCATCCTGAGAATGTCAGTTATACACAGTTCCAATCATCCTGTCTTATCTATTGTGTTCCCCAACATTTAAGGATATGCGGGAGTCAGACCAAAACAAACCCTTAGACGCATCAGGGACTCTCAGACAAGATATTGTGAGTGTTAAGTGCACATAGATTATACACACATGGAGTGATGCATGCACTAGTCCACACAGCTACACACACACCAACCATTTAAGCATGCACTTATCCAGCCTGCCGCTATACCGTCTCTCCAGAGCTGGCCAGACAGTAGGCCAGTGTGTAGGCACCCATCAAGCTGGCTCCATAGTTGTAATGCTGTATTTGTCCAATAAATATAAAGAGAGCTATAAAGAGAAAAATCCAGATGTAACTGACAATCAACGCTAGTATTCTGTGAATCATAAAAATAGCTAATAATAATACTAGCGATAACAATACATTGACAGAAGTAATATCAAAGAGGAAACCTCAGGTTAGGGTCTTTGTAGCTTATGATATCTATGTTTTTGATCAGATGTTTAACACATACGATGTAGTTCGGCTCTGACTTCAGCCATGCTATGCATTTTGCGTATAAATGCGCGCATTCCACACATGCATTTTCACTGAAATAATGTGCAATGCTTTGGTTTACCTCCTATATTTGTATTTTTTTCTTCCCTAACATTTTATTGCCTATGACTGTGAGGGAAAGTTTGTATTTTGTTCTGTAAAATATTGTAATTAAACAGTGTGTTTAGTTAAACTGCGGTTTACCTCCGGTCATTCTCAGAAACGCGTCTCTGACATTTGTTCCTTTTCTGATTAAGCATGTGTGTGTATGTGACTCATAGTGGCACAAATGAACATGTGAGGAGTGACCACTATTTTCAGAGCTAACAAGCAGACACACAGGGAAGTTTTAGTCAAACTCTGTCATTTCTACCTATACAACAGATCTGGTCTTGCTTTTTTAGTGATTAAGGTACATTTCTAAGGGGGTTTTGTGATGGAAATATTCTGTCAGCTTCTTTAGAAACTAAAAGCAACACTTCTATTTAAGGCAGTGCCCTTATGTTGGTTAACCACCCCCGTGTTCAAGCCCACTAGCTTGGTGTATGGAGACATAAAGACAGAATACATGCCCTGGGTCTATGATGATCATATATAGGCTGACACAGGGTGAATGGCATGTTAATTTTACACACATAGACCGACACTACCTGATACAGTCTAATGTAGGCAGATAAAGGTCAATGCAAACCAAAAGACAACACAAGCTTCAAAAAAGTGTAGACAAGCAAAGAAAAGTTGGCACAGGATGACAGACTAATACATGCTAGCATAAGCCAAGAAGCTGAGATTAGTGCCAACTAACACAAGATGAAACATGAACTAGAAGCTAACCACCAGCAGTTCATGTTTTCATTATTATAATGTTACCCTGCCGATGTAAAATAGTGCTGAACGGGATGCTCCAATCTATTTTCATTATATAATCAACATGTTTTTTATTGTACAGTATTGATTAATTTTACAATGTGTAAATTTTACATTTCATCTAATATTTACAAATCAGGAGGAACAATTCAACATAGCATTAGCAATTTATAAATGCAAATAAAATATTAATTCTTTTACAGTTTATTGATATGTATTAAAAAATGTAAAGAATTGAATATTAAATGGTACTAGAATGAGGCATGACAAATATACTGCATTGAAAATCAGTGCCAATACAAAATATAATAAATATAATCTGAAAAACAATAGTTATTTTGTGAAAGGTCTATTTATTCAGTGACTCAATTGCTTTGAATATGTTTGAAGTAGGACCAGAAGACCCCTATAATACTAATGAGTTACAGCTTTGCTGAAGTTAGCATATTGCTTAATAATTAAGCCAAGGTGCAGCATGATTTCAAAGCAGTTTTTTAACTGTGTGTAACACATGCATCAGACCTACTGGCTGCTATGATAGGCACATGTATTTATGCTTGTATGATGTGATAAAAAGTCTCTTTAATATGTTTACTTGTCTACCATACACCGCAGATAACATAGAATTGTGGTGGGATGCAGTAATCTTGATGAATTTAATAAAAGAAAAACCAAACCTAAATGTTACAATTGCACTGTAACATACAACGTGAATAGAATCCTAGCCTGCTAACAAGTACTAGCATTCTCCAATAGTGCCTTAGAATCACACTCAATCTCGTAATAACATGAATACAAGCTATACATACAAAAATTACACTGATATCAGCAACAAACTTTTGCAGCACTGGGTGTCAATTTACATTTGCTGTGAACATGCTGAACATTTTATAAATGCCCAGTGAAATGCTTGCACAAATTGCTTCCATCTTTTACAACCTCTTATCAAGTATAGATTCAAGGTGAGCCTGAAGCCCAGTGCACAGGGCTCAGGACACATGGCAGATGCCCGTCCATCACAGCCTAATGTGACATCACATACAGCCACAGGAAAAATGAAGAGACCACTCCATATTTATAAACAAATCTGCATTTTTAAATCCTGCTTTAATCCTGGTTCTGCTGGCAGAAGCTATGCTGAGCAGCAGGATGCATTCAGGTTTAAAATTTCTAAGACAGCTTTACACAAGAATAAGGTGAAGCAGGAGACACTGAAAATGACCTGGAACCAGCCAGGTAAAGGGCGGAAGTGACATTCTAATGCCAGAGATGACGGTTAACTTATCCAACTCATAAATTGTAGGATGGCATAAAGTGACCTTCAAAGGGAATGGGAAACAATAAGTGCTGATGTGAAGTTCACTGCTAGGACAGTGTATCAGACTCCTAGAAGCAGGACTGAGGTCCCATAAAGCAAGGAAGAAGCCCTTCATTAATGAGAAACAGAGAAGAACCAGGCTGGAGTTTGCAGAGTATTGTATAATAAACATATATTATACACAGACGCACACCCATAAATTGAGAAAATTGTGCTGTGGTCTCTAATTTTTTTCTGCGGCTGTATATATTATTTGTTATCTGAGTAAAAACAAAAGATAAAATTTAAGGAAAGACTAAGTATCATTATGATTATATTTTAAAAGCTTAAGTAATTCAGTCTCAAAATAATTAATACCAGGCAATCTAGTTGATTACCTTTAAATTCAATTACTTTCACAAAATCATCAGCATATGAACAATTTTGATGTACCTTACATATACAATGACAATAGAGGCTTTTCCATTTAAAAATCAATGGCTATAATACAAAACAAGTAAAGTGAGATCAGTTTAGGGAGCTGTGACTGCAAGGGGAACTTTCATGACCTTCACCTCCAGCTGTCTTGACAGGTCACCGTATTCAGAGGCTGCTTCACTTGTAGCCCAGTCCAGACTGGCTTATGTGACAGAACAGCGTCATGGAGAAGCACATGGCCAAGACCTACTCGAGACCATGGAGAGACAGATCGAGAGTCAGACCAGACAACTGATGACCCATGTAAGCATCACATTTGGGGGGGGGGGGGGGGGTATTTGATTTGCTTTTGCAACTTCTGCATTTACTAATAGTGTTTTATGGGAAATCCTACGTCCTCTATGGAAACCTAAAAATCTGTGTCAGATAAATGGCATGTCACATATCAAATATCACCCTCTTACGTGACATTTGGTTCGCTGTAAGCAATGGTTTGTTATTATTTGCAGTGGAACCACATGTAGGATGGACACAATACCATCTGAAAGTCACCAAAGGTGTTCTGATCTTAATTTGAACATCTGGAAATATACTCTTGATTGTCCGGTGGCTGATGATTCAATAAACTTTGTATAAGAATTTTCTTGAAGTTCTATAATAATTTGTTTTAAATTGTATCTTAACCACGAGCATGCTTAGATTTTGCAATGATTATTTAGCATATTATTCATTTCACCATAAAGACCACAACCTGCGACATAAACTAAGCCAAAGGCTGAATATGAATATGGTTTGGAACTGGTGTGAATGCAGAAGTGTTTCGGGGGTGGCTGGTGTACCTCGATGATGCACATGACAATCACAATGGCCCCAATGGTCAGGAGGTTTTCCTCATATTTGTCCTTCAGTTTTTTGTAGCAGCCCTGGGGGGGGGGGGGGGGATGGCGAGCAGACAGGAACATCATATTACCAGCACGGACATAGCATATAGCATTGACACTCCATTATTTGTTATCTATTATTTGTCCAAATGAGGATGATAAGCTCTCTAAGTGTGTAATGCATAACATTTTATTGGACAGTCACTTGTAGCCATATATTTTGCATATCGTTAATTAGCATACCATTAACTTAAAGTGTGCAACTGATTTAAGATTTGTAACTTCACAAATCATGTTGAACAGAATTCATATATAAAAACATCTATAATTTTGGGCTTCCAAATTCCTTTAAAATATTTTTAAATTTTGCAAATTTTGCAATCCATTCTTGCACAATATTTAAATGTACTATATCTGTACAGATATAACCAAATAAATTCCTGTATGCTCATTTAAAATGACACATTTTGCAATTCATTAAATTTTATCATAAATTTGATAATGGTTGTTTAATTTGATCATTTATGGATATGCGTGTGATGCCATCCCTCAAAAACTTGTAAACCCTTGTTGTAAGAGCCACTGAAAATTCTAATAATCCATCTCCTCCAATGAAATTTGGGGAAATGTGGGATTATAGAAACCCTGTGGGATTATAGAATTCATGCTCAAGTGAACATACAAATGAAAAGGGAAGAAACTTTGGGAAGAATTTGAGCAGGAGGAACACTCTAAGAAAAAAAAAAAAACAGAAAAATCATTCTCTGCAAATTAAAGACCAACTGAGTTTAAAATCTGGAACTGAAGGTTATGATTAGGAAGCCAACACCATCTGCCTGTACACTGCATTACCTTTTCCCAGAGGCGTGGTTCATTCTTGCAGTTGGAAGTCTGACAGCAGGAATGAGGAATATTTTGTCCCCATTCAGATGCATTATGAACACCACAGCACTCAAACTGCAAGCAACAAAATCAACATGCAATGCAGGGTCTGAAGAAAACAAAAAACGGGGCCCTGTTCCTGTTTCCTTCAAGGTGCAGAATTTTCGTTCTTACAGTAGAAATGTTGTGTGAAAGTATAATTTGTTCCACCAAAGGTTATGCATGCCACACTTTATAAAAATGGTTTCTGAGAAGCAAATAATATTTCTTAATTATATGATGAGTATGTGATGATTGTATATAGAACATTGTGAAACAAGTTATCATTTTAAAATCCTGTTTACAAGATGATATCAGAAAAATCTATGTTTATGACTATCGATCCACATCACTAATTAGGAATTAAACAGAAAAGAATGAATAAAATAGTTTGTCTGGTAATATAAATGCTTGCTTAGAATATTTACTTTATAAAATGAATAGAACTTATTTACCAAATTGAACTAATAAAATGTGCAAAATAACAGTCAAAGTAATAAATTGATTGAAATTATTATAATTTGAACTTACTAATTTCTGCAAATTGTCCCAGTCATCAGTTTCATTATTACTTTTTCTAAAATCGTGGGATTTTTTCAGACTTTCAGTTAAGTCTGTTTCAATGAATCTGTCGATCTGCAGAGGAAAAACACAATATGACTGTCTACTGCAATTCAACTGCCTGCAATCAGAATTAATCCATTTTCAAACATTATACCGTGGGGGGTATTTCTATCATATGAAGATATATGTATAGCATTTGCAGATTAATAAATAATAACTAAATACAGATCCCCAGACCATTTAAAAATTGAAAATGAAATGTATATGGTAAAAATGCTAAAACTGAAGAGCAAATACACATTTAAACACGCATACAATGCCTGAGAGAGTTAACTATTCCAATTCTAAATTTATCTACCCTTGATGGGTTCTTTCCATTCATGCTCATGCATAAGCTAATACCAAAAACACCTAAAATAAACTAGTTTAGTGCTGAATTATATATAAAAAATTAAAGCAAAGATCTAGGTGGCATGGTTTACTCAGTGGATTAGAATGCTGCTTCCTGGTTGTATGATCACCCTCAGCTCTAAAGGTGTGCAGTTAGGGTACCTGGTGACTCTAAATTGTCAGTAGTATGTGTGGACTGTGATGGACGGGTAGGTGTGTAGGGTGCAGCCCAGCCTTGTGCCCTGCACTGCTTGGGAAAGGCTCCAGCCCCCCATGACTATAACCAAGATATACAGTTAGAGGATGGATGGAACAGCAAAGGTCAGTCCCCCATCGGTTATCTTAAGTTATGCTTATTGCATGTTTTTAACAATGTTTTAAATCATATAGTGTTCAGTAATAAAATATTATTTTCCCATGTAAAATCCAAACATTAAGATACTTCATGATATACAGTTAAAATACTTGGGGAACCCATATATAAATATTTTTTAAGCATTTAAACTGTTTTGTCAAACAAAATTGCTGTATTTTTTGTACAGGTGTGGAATACACACACACACACACAACCAACTCACCTTTCTCTCATACAACAGCAGAAGACAGGCCACAGACAGCTCGGCCATCATCAGGATGAAGAGCAGGATGAAAAACTGCAAACACCAAACACCAAAGACACAAATCTCTCAGCGATGGCAGAATCACAACAGTGACAATCAAACTATGACATCAAACTGAAATAGATATTCAAATGTTTATGCAAATTTTAGTGATGTACAGACTCAGAAACAGTCAGAATGTAGTGAAGCATGAAAGATAAATGACTGTGAACCATCAGCCGTGGAGTGAAAGATGAGAGAAAGAAGAAGGCAAAATACAGAGTAGCATATTTTGAGGTACAGGACGTCCATCTGAGGTAACAAATGACGAACAGGCTGATCTGTTATGTGTCTTTTCATCTCACACACAACACCCGAGTCCCACTTTTCACCTTGCAGGTGGTGAGCTAACAAACTGGCGGTTCACAGCCACTTCTCTCTAAGTTTTGCTGGGTTACACCACCTCCAGGCCTGGCTGCAGGCTTGGGTCCCAACAACCCTATTCCTGGCACAGCACGTTGGGTTTGCTTGGTGTCTTTCATGGCAGCTATTATTAAATGATAGTTTGTCTGGCTGCTCTCCACAGACCTGCTGGTCATGAAAAGCCCCAACAGGAGCTCATGCTCCAGGTGACATACATCTATTGATCTCTGAAGCTTGCAAACTATTCCACTATGCCAACATTCCTAAACAGAGTATGCTTACAATGTAGCATCTGGGTAATAGAATTTGTATTCTTGGAAAGGTGATCTGGTCTGACCTGCTCAGGATGTTGCCATGGCAACCATCACCAGCCCACAAGAATATGGCCAGTGAATGAGAAAAGGCCAGTGAAACCCACAGAAGAGATTACAAGACAAGAGCACGGACACCCACAGATAAGAGGAGGCATCGATTTTCCTTGAGGGCACCCAGGAAACCCAGGAATGAGATGCAGGTCACAATAGTGCCGATGATCACAAGGCCACTGGCCAGATTGATGGAGGGAAGGGATGGGATCAACGAAGAGAACTTGGAGTTCATCATCAGGTAGACCCCGATGCCAAGGACGATTGTTCCAAACAACTGACACACAGATAGAAGAGACCACAAATGAACATATTCCCCATAACAGAATTCGAAGGCAACAAACAGGGGTGAGAACATAACTGAACAATTAGTCTTTGCATTATGGCACAGTAAACATAATGTGTAGATAGCATATTCCTTGTCAAAAACTCAAGTGTCTTTTAAGTTCTTGGTAACAAGCTGCTAATTAAATGTTCCATGAAGAATGCAGGGCAGAAACCCTGACAAAATAAATACAAACTGATATACTGACATGAATGCAATTTCACTTGGCAGTTTTTTTTATCACGTTGAGTATACTTGGCAAACTTGGAATTTGGCTAAAAAAGCTATCTGGATGGTAAATGTACTGGCTGTCTGCTTAGCTTCCACACCTTATAGACTATAATGGAGTGGATTCCAGTGGAACCCATTGCAATTGAATGAATGACAATCAGGAAGGATTTTTGAAGCACTCTTTGTTTAAATGAGATTGACACTGAAGCCTACCCAGCAGAGAAAGTTGATTGCACACATTGTGTACTTGAGACAGTTCAGGCAGCTCTGAGACATCGCTATTGACTGGTGCTCAATCCTACAGAAAAACACTTTTATGCCCTGGTGAAAGAGAGAGAGGTCAATATAACTTACAGTTCATACATCACATCTCACAAAGATCCATATACCTCTAAACACTCACACCAGTGTGGGTCAAAAACCTGCCTTTAGAAAAAGAATCATGCGTCATGCTCAGCAGCACAAAACGGACTGCACTTCCTGTTCCTGTTACATTTCAAGTTTCCATTTATAACTTCCTGTACAGCTTCTCATATATGCATTTCAAGGTGAGGCAGAGTTGGAAATACAAACCGATAAATGCTGACGAAGCTAAAAACAAACGACAAAATTAATTTTGTGTGGAATCAATCTTTAAATGACACATTTAGTTTAACATCACACTATTTCCTATGCATCAAAAGAAAACAGTCTCAAATTCTGAAAACTATAAACAGAGAATTGCTTTGCTGTGTGTCTCATCAAGACATGCATACATACCACCCATCCTGCCTGTGATGTGTGGGTTTCCTTCAGCTACACAAAAAAGTCATGTTCTTAAATTGCCTTTGGTTTGTGTGTCTGTGCTCTACGATGGATTGGCACCCCATCCATGCCCTATGCTGCCTAGGATAGACTAATCTTATCCAGAAAGGGTCGCTGTGTATGTGGGTTTTCACTGCAACTCCCTAATTAGATTACTAATTAGAAGACTGAATGGCTGAAAAGTCCACACACCTGGGTTTGAACAGATGACCTAAAGGTTACCCCGAAAACCAGCATACACACCGGCCCTTTGCGCATAAGATTGTCGACCCCTGTTCTAGAGGTACTGCAACCCTGTACAAAATGAATATGGATAGATCCATGTTCTATGCAATTTCCTGCTGAGAAATTACTATTGCATTTTAATGGCCCTATTTACAGTAGTAGAAGCCTGGAGTCAGGAAGAAGGTCTCTTTAAATAATTTTTATAGAAAGAAAAAACCTGCAGTGACAACTAGCACATTTATAATCTTCAAGCAATACAACTTTTTGTAGTGCTGCACAATCAGATACCTACATATCTTATAATTCAGCTCCAATTCAACCACTTATACATGCAACCAGAATGAGAACAATCCTATCACCTCTGTACACCCATCACATGATTTCTATTCTGCAACAACAAAACCCTTATTCTAGTATCTGACCATAACAGAAAGGTTTTAGGACAAGGGGACAACCAGCATGTTGAAACGTGCTAGAAACCCTCCTTCCTACCACACTAAAAAGTTGTATACTGGTGCCTAAACATAAAAACATTGTTTCCAAACAAGGCAATAACTTTGTGTGAAACTCAGCTTTGAAACTTTTAATCTTGAGTCACTCCTAGTCTGTGCTACAATACCAGCAGTCTGGGCAGCAGGCCTTCCCTGCACGCTGCTATTTATCAACTTCCTTGGAATCTTATTAACTTTTTTAATGTTTTACTGCAAACAGATCAACTTCCCTATTTTTTGACAAAGTGATTTTTTGTCTAGATTTACTTTCATTTGATTTGCTTATATCTTGTCAAAACCGGTCTCCTGAGCTGAATGTGATCTGTTGTGGTTAAAAGGTGCTGTCTTTCGTACAGTAAATTGAAAAGGTTCAGCATCAGGGCTGTCTAAAGAATACTGCGTTATGATAACCGTAATACTTGCTAAAACTAATTTAAATAACACTTCAAAAGTATAAGCTATTAACAGCATGCTGTCATAGAAAACAAAACACAGCTTTAGTGTAATAAAGATGGACTTGGAGTGTTCGTGATGTCTGACACTTAGGAAGCGGCAATAGTTCAGCATTGCCAACGTCCATACAATATAAGAATGAAAAGCTCGATGCTTTTTATGGAAAGAATGTAACTTTTGACAGCCCAAAAAGAAACAGACCCGTCACCTACAGGTCCCAAAGAACAAAACATGTAAAAGCTAAAATTTAGATCTCACTTATCACTCCGCCATCAATCTTTTGCAGGAAAGATCAATAAGACATTCTTACCTGGTTAATTTTTGTTTCCTCTACAAAGTCACAAATAACTGGCAATGACTGATGTTAACATTACAACATAGAATGAAGTCACCTCTGGCAGTCAGAACATAAGGCGTATCATGAAAAGGAAGAAGGCGGAGCATGTAGCTAACGGAGCAAGAGGGGGTTTCTTTTTCTGAATTTCACTTCTGCTTCCCACAAACATTCTCAAAAATACATTCTGAGGGGCCAGCACTCAGTGGTAGAAATAGTGGAGTGTGACACCTGGAAAATGTCTTTATGTACCCGTTTCGGCAACATAAGATAGCACAACAAAAAAAGGCTGCATTGTATTTGTAAATATTTGTTTTGATGGACCTAGATTGACCTATATTGTACAATCAGTCCTCAAGTAGCTACGCAAGCAGCATTTGCACCTCCTGGGCTGTGAATTTGATTGAAGGTTGGGAAGTTGTCATGTTCTTTCCACATCTATATGGATCTGCATGGGTGCCCTGTGATGGCCTCCAATCTAGGGTTCGACAATGGGGGTGCACCCCTGCCACATACACTATATTGCCAAAAGTATTGGGACACCTGCCTTTACACACACATGAACTTTAATGACATCCCATTTTTAATACATAGGCTTTAATATGGAGTTGGCCCATCCTTTGCAGCTACTGTATAATGGCTTCAACTCTTTTGGGAAGGCTATCCACAAGGTTTAGGAGTGTGTTTATGGGAATTTTATGACCATTCTTCTTGGAGAGTGTTTGCGAGGTCAGCCACTGATGTTGGAACCTGTTCTATTGGGTTGAAGTCAGGGCTCTGTGAAGGCCAGTCAAGTTCCTCCACACCAGACTCGCTCATCCATGTCCTTATGGACTGGTGCACTGTTGCGCAGTCATGTTGCAACAGGAAGGGGTCATCCCCAAACTGTTCCCACAAAATTGGGAGCATGAAATTGACCAAAATGGCTTAGAATGCTGCAGCATTAAGTTTTCCTTACACTGGAACTAAGGGGCCAAGCACAACACTTGGCACAATCCAGTCAGGCAAGTGTCGTTCTCCTGGTAACCACCAAACCCAGACTCTTCCATCAGATTACCAGACAGAGGAATGTGACTTGTCACTCCAGAGAACACGTCTTCACTACTCTAGAGTCCAGTGGCGGTGTGATTTACACCACTGCATCCAAGACTTTGCATTGCACTTAGGGACGTAAGGCTTGAATGCAGCTGCTTGGCCATGGAAACCCATTCCATTAGGTTCTCTATACACTGTTCTTGAGCTAATCTGAAGGCCAAACAAAGTTTGGAAGTCTGCAGCTATTGACTGCACACAGTTGGTGACTTCTGCACACTGTGCACCTCAGCATGCATTGTCCCTGCTCTGTGTTTTTACATGACCTACCACTTCATGCTTGAGTTGTGGTTGTTCCCAATCGCTTCCACTTTGTTATAATACCACTAACAGTTGACTGTGAAATATTTAGTAGTGAGGAAATTTCATGAATAGACTTATTGCACAGGTGGCATCCTGTCACGGTACCACACTTGAATTCACTGAGCTCCTGAGAGTGACCCATTCTTTCGCAGATGTTTGTAGAAGCAGTCTGCATGCATAGGTGCTTGATATTATACACCTGCGGCAATGGAAGTGATTAGAACACCTGAATTTAATGATTTAGATGGGCATCTCAATACTTTTGGCATTATAGTGTATATTATACTGGGTATCACTGATGGTACCATAATTTGAGAACCACTACTTTAATTATTTTAACATATGTGGATTTTTATGTTGACAGGGTTACTGTGAGGGACCAAGCAGTAAGACAACACAAACACAGGAACTTAAAGAAATAGGGCTTTATTAACCCCCAAAATACAAACAATAACAAACTCAAGATCTTAATAACTGGGCCCATAAAAGAGGTCAACAAAAAATAAACAAAACTTAACATTACAAAGCAAAGTCTTAACTGGAACAAACTGACCTTCTAATAAAGAGACGAGGGAACATATATAGTGGTTTGGCCAAACCAATTGACACACAAAGGGGTAAACCAAATAATGACTACATATAATTAAACAAAGCAAAACACAACTAAACCCCAACTCCCCCCTCTTGCCATGGCAGCACATGGTTTGCTCCTGCTCCAGGGGTTGTCCTTTTGAGAGATCTCCGCCCTCAGCCGTACCTTTATGCGGCATAGAACAGACCATTCCCCCAACCAAAGTAACTGCAAACCAAATGATTGTCTAAATTAATCATTGCACACAACCCTACAATATCAAAATATACTACCAGAGCCACAAAAGGCAAGAATGAATCACTGTAAATAAAGCAAAAACATACATGCTTGCATCCTTAGTTGATTTATATTGTAGCCGTCACACACCCCCCCCCCTTCGGAACTCTCACTGGCACAGTGGGAGAGATAGTCTGCTATAAGGTTATCCTTGCCTGGAATATGCTGAACATTGAAACAAAACGGTTGCAGTGCTAGATACCACCGGGTGATCCTTCAGTTGGTGTCCTTCATCTTATCCATCCACTGCAATGCTCTATGATCCGTTTCCAGGGTAAATTCTCTACCCAGGAGATAGTATCTGAAGGAGTAAAGGGCCCATTTTATGGCCAACGCCTCCTTCTCCACCGTTGAATATCGAACCTCCCTGGGGAACAACTTCCGGCTGATGTACCCCAAGGCTTTCTAATCCAGTTGGCCGGCATGACACTTCTGTGGAAGGTGATTTGGCAGAGATGTATGTATTCCTCAAACATCTGGATGGCTTCTTACATAAACTTTTCAGATAGTGGTTCGTTTCGGACAGTGTCTGGGGTCAGAGTTCTACTTCTAGCTTCTTGCAATGCCTTTCTGACTAGAATGGCACCCTAGTATTTAGCACTCGACTCCATCATGCCAAGTTAATTCTTGTCAGCACAGTTTGTTTTTGCAGTGATGTTGGTAAAAGCTTTCCTAAACTTCTTTGCCATCTCTGGGAAGAGTGCAGACACTAATTTCTCTTGCTCCTCTGTAAGTGTATACCTTCTCATACTTGATTTTCCTGCTTTGCCTGCTTTACTCCTATTAGAGTCTCCTCTCAGGCAAAGAAAGAAATGGTGGTCGGCAGAGCTCCCTTTCCTACAGTCCTGGTTCCTACACAGGTAAGTATCTTTACATTAATCATCTTCTCCATGGCATACTAACCTCTTGCATGCTCCTAGCTTTTCCACAGCATTCAGCTTTTCACCAGGATTAAAATCTTTGAATATCTTGCAAAAGAAAATCTTCTCTCTGTGCTTTTCGTCTCCACAGACAACACATCCACCTTTCCTTGTGGATCCTGTTGAGGCATATTTCTCTTCCAAATAAGCAGGCTTCTTGTCAGGCTATCCACTCACTCTAAGCTGCTCTAATTTCTCTAGAATTTCTTCTTGTGTTTTCAGGAACCCAAGAAGGCTATCAAAATGATTGTCTGGTGTAACACCATTTTCTGGATTGACCATAAATACAAGCTAATCTCTCTTCATGTTGTCTGGTAACTAGATTTGATCACCAGAGGATTCTTGATGTCTCCTGTGTTTCCAAGCTCTGTTAGATCACCCAGGGCTGTTCATACAGTTTGGGTCAAGTCAACGACATTCCTTGGCTGATTTGACTTTAAGGCAGGAATTTTCTCCAGATCCTTGATTATCTCCAGGGCGAATATAGACCTGTTTCCATATTTGTTCTCAAGCACTCTGAACGTGTCTTCAGCAGCGGGCCCGGACATAGGCATGGGCAAGGTGGGGCAATGCCCCCCTAAATGCTGTGACTACCCCCCCAAACGTGAAGGCATGCAAAATTCCGAATTTCATAAAAACTTTAAGTAAAATGGTCAGAGCGCTCTCTGCTCGCTTTCAAACTAGCTACTGATTGGTAGATGTAGGGAGGGTGTGGCTACTCACTTCATTTGCTTGCTCGTCTCACTTGCTCACAGTCACGGCACGACAGAGCTCAAAACTCAAAAAAAAAAAAGACATCGTTCTAAATAACTTTTCTTTCGCGGTCTCTCACCGGAATTATTTAATTACTATAACTCTGTTCTTCTTCTCTATCTTCTCTCTCTTTCTCCTCACTCATTTACAATTTGTTGAAGTGAATCAAGTAACGAGTCGACGATGCACAGATTTCTGGTTGCTAAAGCTAAACCTAGCAGTAGCAGCGGAGCTGCCAGCAGCAGTGCTACGGATTTAGCAGCAGTGGAGACAGAATCATTACCCGGTCCCGGCTCATCGGGTGGTACTGCTTGTGGACTCGCCACAAACCATTGTGCCCGGTCCAGTACCAGTACAAGTTTTTCTAGCTGCACAAGCACCACAGCCCCCGCTGCCCCCACCGTTCGCAGTCCAGTGGCCGCTGCGGATGATGTAGACATAGGCTTGAACACCATAGCACCGTCACAACCCATAGCTCTTGTTTTCCCCAAGCGTAATTTTGGTAAAAACGCACTCTCATTCTGCCCAGG